TGAGCATGTTGGATGTACTTCACTCAAAAAGAATTTGGAACAAAAATAATGAATGTTTAGAGATTATCATTGAACACAGGTAAAATATTGTTACATGTTTTGTTACCATAAAAGTAATTGGTGCAATAATCCTTCTACCTCTTCCTTAGTATTTCCCATGGTTTTAAGAAATACAGTAATAAATGACAAGTTTAGGCTCTAGTATTTATTGTGTCTCACTTATTTAGACATTGTTCCTTTTGCATTGAATCTATGAAGCTCCTTTTATCAAGTATTTTAATGTGATTGCGCTCATCTATTTGTATTTACATTTGCTCCAATTCTATTAAATTAAACATTTCAAATTTTCTATATGAAGAGTTCACACTTTTCCTTTAGGGCCATTTAGAGATTGAAATAAAAATTGTGGTTAAGCATTGCATTGTTTTGCAATAATGCTAAAACAAGTTACCTTGCAAGTTATTCGATACATGATTTTTTAAATGGATTTTGTATTTGATATCTATTTCACTTCTTTGACTATGTAAAATTTGGCTCACTTGTGTTTCGCCTCTTTGTTGATTTACGAAGCCTTGGGTTAGACTAAGGATTCAATCTTTGTGAACGTGCCATATACATTATGGCACGGCTGTGTGAGGCCGACCCAGAAATGAATTTTGTCCAAATCTATGTTGCTGCTTAAGTAATTTTTTGCTAAAGTTTAGATAAAACAAAAGCCTTTCGGTGCATGTTTTCAAAATAATTTGATAAAAAAACTTTTGTTGATGATAAAAAACCTTGAATGAGATTGCACATTAGCCATATATGTGTGTGTGTGTGTGTGTTCTAGTGAGAATGCGATCTTATAAAAGAAATAAGAATGAATCTCGTGCTTTAGATTGTGAGATGTAAGGGTCAGGATTGCATCAAAATTAGGTGCACCAAAATGGTTTAAAAATGCATCATGCTGAAATGCACCAAAATCCTTTGAAAATGAACTATCTCAAAATCTGAGTGCAGGATGCAGTCTGAGCCGCACGATGTATCAAATCCAAAGGATATATTTTATTCTTATTTCTTTCACCAAGGTGCATTCTCACCTGAACCTGCCCATATATATATATATGTGTGTGTGTGTGTGTGTGTATGTGTATGTATATATATATATATATATATATATATATATATATATATATATATATATATATATATATATATATATATATATATATATATATATATATATATATATATATATATATATATATATATATAGTATTTCCAAAAAGTGAAGGATGCTGCTGACAATCTGACCCATCTGAAAAAGTATATAACGGTAGAGGGTGGGAGGTTTACCGGGGGGTTAGGGGGGTAGGAATCGTCAATTTTACGAATAGGACACTGAAGCGTCCTCGGGTCATCCTATGACATTGGTTCCCAATGTCATGAGAACCTTGCCCTGTAAACATATCAAAATAGACTTTATTCTAATTCTATTTAGCAGTTTTCTCCAAAAATAATGTCCTAGTTTGATTCTTTTTGCCTTTTTGAACTCAAATTAGATATAATGGTAAATAAACAAAAGTTACAATAATTGGACGTATAAAAAATACTCCCTCCGCCCACCTAAGATCTTCCCATTACGCGTTACGAGGCTTGACCGACTTTATTTCCAATTCAATTTAATTGATTATAGGAGTAAAACTTTAAAATAAAATTTATATAGTAATAAACTACATGAAAAGTCCTACAAAACTAGAGGTGACAAGACTATATTATTTTATGAAATGACTAGTAAAAATGAGCAAACAAAGTGAGTAAAGTTTGACCCTGTGAATAGTGTCTGAAAAGATCTATGGTGGACAGAGGGAGTACATCTTAAAATATGCCTACTAATATTAAATTTAAATAAAAATTAATATTCTTCTTACATAATTGTGATCAAGATTATCAAAAAAATACAATGATAATTGTGATCAAAATTATCTCAAAATAACAAATTAAATAACAAATTTACTTTTTACTTTTTTAGTTTTGAATTTAAAATTAATATTTTTAAAAATATAATAATACACTCTTGTTAGAGATTTGTCTAATGATAAAAAATTTTGTAGTGATTTATAAAAAAAATCACAAATTGGGTAGTTCCATTTTAGAAAGAAAATTTTATTGCAATATAAGATTATCAATAAAATTTTCCGAGTGTTCATAGAAAAATTGCAATACATCAGAAAATGTAGTGAGTTATAAAAATAAAAGTTCTATTTTAGAGAAAAAAAGTGTTGTGTTATTTTCACAGCTATTGTAATGTTGTTTTACAAAAAATATTTATATAGAACTATCGAAAAATATTCATAAGTTTTGTAGTGCCATTTTTTTAAGAAATAATAATAATGTAGTATCAAAAAATAATTTGAAGTGCAGCTCAAGAAAAATACAGTAAATGCAACTTACAAAAAAATGTACTCCAGCGTTATCAAAAACACTTTCTCTTTCATTTTTTTCTCTTCCAACAAAATACTTCCACTTTCTATTAAAAAACCACTTTTACCCTTACTTTTTCATACCCTACCTATCACATCATACTTTATCTCTAATAATCTATCCATCACATCTTACTTTTACCTATCACATCAAGGGCAAAATTGGAAGTCAACTACAATTTAATACTTATTTTTACACAAAGTCAAAAGAGAAACACTTTTTGCAAACAGAGGGAGTAGTTAGTTATGAAGTTAATAAATTAGCTCTATTGTGTAGAATAATTTATTTTCTAATTATTACCATATTATTTGTTATTGAAAAAAAACAATTAGTTTCACTCTTAAAACACTTAAATTTGGTATTTTTTCCAAAAAAAATAAAATAAAAATACATTTAAAGAAATTAAAAAACGAAAAAGGGAGAATTTACCTAAAATAATCCCACCTTTCATTTATTTGCGAAAAACGGGCATTTTTCAAAATTTCTGTTAAGTGACTGTTAGTTTTTTAACGGCGACCCAAAACTCGCACACATGCGGGAAGGTGAGATTATTTATGGTGAGAGTGAAAAGTAGAATTATTTTTGAAAGAGCACTAAAAGGTGGGATTATATGAGATAATTTTTCCATATATATATTACAAACCTATATGAGATTTGTTGAATGATCAATGGCTTTACTTTACAGAAATTTCTGCAGGAGCAGTAGCTTGAGCTTGACGAGCTTGAATGGTTAACCAATATGGGCCTCTTTAGAGAATACAAGGTGACACAACTATCTGCACCACCACCTTCGAGCTTCATGAATACAAACAAGTCAGCCAAATTCTACATGCCACAGAAGATAAGTATTTCGCCTGTTTCTCTAGTTTTATGTGTGGTCTAGTGTTGCTATAATAAAAAATGTTTGATATTAGGTTGATTGATATAAGTGTTCTACTCGGGTTGAAATTGTTTTAAATAATCCTAAATAGGACTAAAACATAGAGAAAAATACCAAAATAGAATTTTCATGTTTTTTTCTTTCCGGAATATGACTTTGCATTGTGATAATGTGGCAGTGTACATGTGCAAATTACAATACTTTCTTGATAATGTATATGACCATGTTTGGTAATGTAAGTCTTATTTTGGAAAATAAAAAGATGAAAGTCTTATTTTGGTATATTTTCAATGTTTTAGTTCTACTTTGGTCTTTCTCACATTGTTTTATGCACTTTATCCTTTTTGTCAACTTTCATTGCTAATTGGGGTATTAGTGTTTCTTCCTTAAATTTGGGATTATTTTTAAAAACATTTCCAAATATACATTTAAAGTTTTGAATTCAACAAGAGAAAGAAAGTACCAAAGATTAAACATTTGATTGAAATATGTTCAAGGTTTGGTTTAGCCTTTCATACATGCACACACTGATTTTTACGCTCCTATTGACGGTGATCTAATTAACTGAATTAAATTTTTTTCATGCCAGTAATGCTCAGAGTTTAGATGATGTTGACTCTAATCAAGAAAACTAAATACACTCTCCACTAGTACAAAAGCGCGATGAGGTATATTTCTTAACATTGTTTGATTAATATATACTTTTAAACTTTAATGTTAAAATATGCTAATGCAAATGTTATATGACACAGTCTGGTTTGGAAGAAAAAGTTACTCTTCTAGATGATTCAATAAAAGTTATAATGCAGAGCTGAGCAAATTAACAAAGATGGTGCACAATCAATGACCCAAGAACGTGCTTACACCTAAAAAGAAGCTCAATTTTAACTTAGTAAGTACACTAAGTATAAGAGAAAAAGTTATAGCGAAGTAGGGAAGAATGCTCATCTTTTGGATTTGATGGAACCCATTCACAATCCCATATTTGATGGTGGATTTTATGGAACCCATTCACAATCCCATATTTGATGGTTTGAAATCAACTGTTGAAATGCCCAAGGTATTTTTAGTACACTTCTTTAATTTTTTAACATTTAAATGTTTTATTATCTTCCTTCAACAAGTTTATTCAGGTTTTTCAATTTTTTTTAGTGGTTGCCCATGTCATTTGTTTGACCATCAGGCTTGATAATGGATAACATACAAGCATGTGTAGCTGCATACAGTTTTGGGGCGAATAAAGATGATAGTGAAAGTGAGTAATTATATCGTGGGACTAAAATAGGATGTTTCTTACATTATTATTTTACGTTCATTAGGAATTTCTTGTGAATTAAATTTTATTCACGAATTAAATTTTACTTTCTGAACACATAACAATCTTTGTCTTCCTCAATGATTTGAAAAATATAGTAACTTCGGACATCCAAAAAAAGAGGAAAACAGGAAAAGTGACATTGTCAAATGATATTAACTTGCACGAAATTTAAGGTTTTAGAAAGTATAAAGCAGTGCATTGAGAATTAATCACTGGCTAGCACAGAAGGTTGTTTCACAATATGTGATAAGATGCAAGATTGCTATCGCAGTATCATTCTTTTTTATTAGTAGCATTCACTCCATCCGGTCTTGACATGCAATATACGGAGTATATAACAGGGAAAAAAAACTTTTCTTAAAAGAGGATCACAATAATGGTAAAGGCCGCTAGGGCAGTAGATGTTGGTTTTTACTTTAAAAGAATGATAACAAAGAGAAATTTTAGTACAAAGTAAAAAAACATGGAAGAACTAGAATTCCCTATTGATACGAGATGCGGGATCTGACATACTTACAGTTGTAACATAAATGCTATTTCCAACCTCGAGGATATGCTCAGAGTCTTGTAAACCAGATGACTCGTGTACAACACTCCTCCCTTACACTTTGACAATAACCACACTATATGACTCTCCAATTGCGTATACTTTGTACATACCAAAAGGAAGTTTTTTCGTCCTCCCAAAGCAGTCTACTAAATAATCCATCTGAACAATAGGCAGTTTCATCCTCCTGTCAAAGATGCAAAAATGGTTCAAGTATTGAACATAATCAATACGTATGCTTTTGTCAGTAAAAAGGGGAGCTTTAGGTTGCCTTCTTTATCTCAGCATCACTGCTCTCCAGCATTCCACTCAAAACTAAGCAGCTTATGTCTATAGCAGAAGCACAAAAGAAGGCTTTGCTAGTGAATGATCAAAAATGAGTATTTTGATGAAAATTATAAGAATGATTATATACCTTTCTTTATCTTGGCATGAACTAGAGAACCCACTGCCTCACCTTTTTTCTTCCACTCTGCCTGCAAAAATCACATAACCAAATTTGCAATGGGCATTCTTGAGTGGTTATTTAAATTAGAAAGAAAAGCTAAAAGGTCTTGTGAAAAACAATATGACATAGAAACTGAGAGCATTTGAAAATTACTAACCGTAGAGTCAGGTCACTGCCCATTCCTGCAAAAGTTACTATTTGGTCTCCTAAATTTTCACCTTCCAATGACTCGCCCATTAAATAAAAAACATTAAATCTAGAAAATGATACTAAACTAACACATTTGACAAAACAAGAAATAGGCTTATACTCCGTTATACTGCTAGAGAAGTGCTATCGAACTCAAATAGAGCATGCAACAAAACAATAACCTTAATTAAGAAACAGTACTTCTCTTTGGAACTCCCGAAAACAATCGGCGAACTTATAAAAACTAACTCCCTCCATCAACTAAAGGGGGTATAAGCACCAAAACAGCCCCATAAATAAAGAGTAAATAAATTGCAATAATCATTTAGAAGCTACAAATAAAAAGATGAAGTGATGTCATTATTACCAGGAAGTACATGATTGCTTTAGGAACATAATCCTTAATGTTTTTTCTAACAATGTTATAATATGATCTCAGCAACAGTTTTATGATATTTATCTCTATTGCCTCCTGCTCTGTGTGGTTTTCTGAGGGCCTCCAGACATTTAGCGGCTTAAAAGAAAAGAATTAGGTTAGTAAGAAGATCCTGTAACAAATAAAATCTGAATTGTCGGCGGGCATTTGTGTGAGGTAGCTACTTAGTTGGTGTACCTCTCTAAATTGAATAATAGAATAAGCATGTTCCATGCTCTAGACAGGATCGTTAAAAGTCTTGATCGTTGAATTTACTTTAACAAAGGCACGATGATCAGACCCTACAAATTTTGAAGATATTCCCCAGCTTGTAGTGACTCCTGATAAAAAAACCATGTTAGAAGAGGGCTTTGATACAAATAACTACCAGTCTAGTTGAGATATCATTGTGCAAATAATCATGTTCAAGTTCTCAACTAAGAAAAAGGTTTACCAGGCGTGGTTTTTTCCACTACTAGAGCAGTCCAGACACCCTGTTTTTATGGAAACAAGCAGCAACGTCACAGTTAGTGAGTAATGTTATACCCATGCATAGCTGAAAGAGATACATTCAATTATAAGCAACTCTATTTGTGAGCAACAAATCAAAGTAAAATAGAGGTCTATTTTAGATAGCTCACAGTCACAAATGGCTATCAAGGAAACCAAGCACTCGCAAAGCTGGTTTTAAGGTCTAGAGAGTTGAGAGTGGGTGTAACTAAATAGTAGTCCACAAACATGTTACTATTTATGAATATATTACCCCCTCTATCCCAATAAAGAACTTGACATTGCAGTTTACTGCTTGACTTAAGATATTTTCAATATAATTTATTTCAATATTGGTGTAAAGTTTAAAAAATAAGATTTCTACATTTAAAAACTAGATCAAGAGTTCTACAAAACAAGAGATAACTTGACTATATTATTTTAGCTATTGATCGGTGAGAACATGTAATGCAAGAAGATATGAGTTGACCTTGTGAATACTATACACAAAAATCTTTTTAGGACAGATGAAGTATTGTTTCTGTTGCTATTGGGGGTGAAAGTGTGGAGTCAAACTTGCCTGCTCTGGTACAATTCCATTCACAGGTCTAGCTAGGATAGCCTGAGACTTTAGACTTCTTTGAGATGCTAGAGCTTTATCTGCATCGACTCCACCCTGACAAAAAAAAAGACACAACATGACTTGATTTTGAAGATCATGGAATCTTAAAACTAGGAGTAGGCAATAATGGTACGAAATATAATGAATCCAATCAGGAATTTACTTTTTACCTCTGAATGGGTGGAGAAATCCTGGAAGACTACTTGATCTGTTGGGACGAAATCTCCACAGCTTGGATCCCGCCAATAAAATTGTGATGGGAAGTATTTATGTAACCCATCTACAAAATATTAAGCTGAGCAATAATTCCCATATGGAAGAATTTAAACAGCATACCCGCAATTCATTCCAGAGCCAAAACCCCATGAGGTGACTTTTCAGGAATAATAATTGAACTAAATATATAACTTTTGTCTTCAGATCAAGAGTTTTGTTATTTGTAAAATATATGGCGACTTGACGAGTTGATGAGAATAAGCTGCAGCTAGGGCAATAACTTATCGAACAAACAACCCTAGCTGTTTATATTTTGTAATCAATTTAACCACTAGTAGAACTAGATAAACAAAAAGATCCTAAATTGTTCCTGCAACTGTCCAATTTTTTGTGTTATGCCTCCTAAAAAGTAGAAAAGGTCAGATGTAGACATGTGGTGATCTTCTTAGCTTACTCATAGAGGGTTTGAAGAAAATGGGTGCAACTATATACCTATGTTTTCAATGAGGCACTTCCTAAGACTTAATCAAGAAGCGATGGTACTGTATGCAAGCATGTAAGAGGAGAAAAAATCAGATGTACCTCCATTCCAATGATGTGGCTAATCATATTTTCTGATGGCACAAGGCCTTCTCGTAAAAAGTTCCTTGTGACCTCATCCATGCGCCTTCTTAAAACAAGAAAAGTTCCCTGGATTTGAAGGGGCAAATCCATAGATGGCGCTGGTATTTCTTCAACGGATGGCTCTGAAGGAAATGCGGCGGCGATTGATTCTTAGAGAGACAAATAGACGATGCAGACCTGGAGATGGAGACGGTCTTATGGAAAAACAATTAATAGAGATTGCCGTCATAAACCGTATGATAGAAACGGAAGAAGGAAAGAAAAATAATTGAGTTTAGATTTGGGGCCAATTGCAATAAACAAGAACAGTTTGATGTGGAATAATCCGAGAGGGTGGGGTTTGGGTGTGTCCTTTTTCACTCGATGGATGTAGTTAATAGTTTCTAAATATATTTTGATTCGTTATTTTGTAGAAGCTATGGTTTTGTGGGAGGACACTCTCATTATTGAAGGACAATGGCATTAGGGGTGACTAGGGGTGGAACTTCATTTAATTCCAAGGGTCTATTTTGGGTAGTTGTTTCTCTCTTTTGTTTTTATTTCTACGTGTTGTTTTCATTTTTATTCGTAGGTCGTAGAACATTTTAACTCAAACATTAGCCAGACGTGTGGAGTTGTTATTTGGTTGGAGGGAGTTTAGCTCTAGTTTGACTTCCTTAGCCAAACATTTTAATTTTTTGATTACAAATTATAGAAAATACATTTCTTTTTCATTTAAATTTGATCTCAATCGATTCATTTTGAGACATACTTTTAAATTATTACTTTTTTAAATAATATATACCTATATATAACTAGAGATAGTAATGATTAAATTGTTACATTAATTAAACACCATAAAAAGTTAAAATGAGAAGAAAATTTATGGACAGAAAAAATATCTTATTTCGCTCTTAATTTTAGATTACAATTGCAAATGTTTTTCTCTTCAAAGAAAACCTTTATATCTGCTTTTTTCTAAAAGCTAAAAATACTTTATATTTGCTTTTTTTTGAAATGATGTTATATTTATAAACTTGTGGTGGAGAAAAGCAAAAATTAACATGCTAAACAAAATAAAACCAATACAATACAAAAGAGAATAACTTCTTAAAAACATTCCAAACGCACTCTAGCCTCGATTATGAGTTTGAAAATCAGATCACGACAGCGGCAATGTGGCAGATAATAGTTCCTTGTGCGCATGGACACGGAATATCTTATTTAAGGACCCGACTATATTGGTACCATTCACCGTCCGGTCGTGCCTCTCGGAGCGCAGTTCCAGCCGGTGGGCGTTGCACAGTTGGCAAGGCAAGCTAAAGGGGTAATATTCAAGTTCGATTTCTGGCAACTGCGCTGGGAAACAACTATGCTAAGCAAATGAAATCTGCAAATACCAGATGCAGACTCTACTCTTTACCACCGTCCCGCCGAATCTAGGGCCTAAGGACTAGGCTCCTCTTTTTTTTTCGGAGCGCGGTTCCACCTTTTTTGAAAAAACCATAGCTGAGTCACCTTTTTACCGACTGACATCTCACCCGTGAGCTGTCTGTATTACGCCACGCATACATTCTCCCAAATTTCCGCAGAACTTGCCATAAATTTAATCTTCCTCTCCGTCTCTCCCTCCAGGACCTGCTCTCTCTCTCCCAAGTTCCCAACAAGGCAGCGAACACAGAAAAGGGAGGAATTCTCGGGTCCGATGGGTTCCGGCGGCAGCCATCTCGGCGCGCGTCCTCATCCGCCCGCTCGCAGCCGCACCGTCAAACGAGCCCTTTCCTCCCTTTTCATCTGCGGTGCTTCTTCTTCCCAGTTACCCCTTGATCATCAGGTATATATATGTATTCCTTTCTATAAGCTTTCATGTGTTTTCCCCTTCAGATTGTAAATTGAAATCGCGATCTTTGCTTTAGTTTCCCGTTTCATTCATTTGTTCAGACCGTTGACTGGTGGCTATGTTTCATTTTGCAAATGATATGAATTATGAGAATAGGAGATGAGAGTTTCTTTATCAATTAGCGGCCTGATTCCGGAAATTCCAGATGATACATTGCATAACTATTCACATTAATGAATCCAGCATATATAGTTGATTGTGAAAACTATGTGGATATATTAGGTTATATAAAATATATTATTGCAACTCACTGTAGGGTGATGACTGATGATTGAGTAGTCATTCAAGTGCTCATTTTATGTACGGCCTGGGAAAACTGTGTTAAAATTATTTCCAGTAAATGGGCTAGAAAACGCCGCATGCTTAATTTTGTTGCTTATAAGTTTCTACCATACATTGTGGTGAAGGAGATTGTAAGCACCTGAGAACTTGTATAGTAAAGTGCGTGGTGTCATTTTGTGCTTTTAAAGGAGCTTGGTCTTGAGTGTAACACGCCAGGCTATTCCATTGGCACTCCAAGCAGCAGCATCCTGCCTGTTGTTTCACTTAGCATTTGGTGAGGTATACTTGATTACCTGATGGCTCATGTTCTTCCTCCTGTGTTTGGTTGCACATTGAGTCAAGCTTGATTTAAAAAACATTGTTTTTAGACTACAGTTAGATTCTACTCTATACTAAAATGATCTATATAATGAGAGGAGTTGTTCAAAATTGGAACCGGAACATCTGTCTTCCATTGTGAGTGTGTGACCGCTCATTATTGTGTTTAATTTGTTTATCATCTGTGTTTCATTCAATGAATCTAGTTGTAACCAAGGGCTGTTGACGTTTTTTAAAATAAAAGTGGCTGTTCACAAGTGCTTATTTGTATGTGATAGATCCATGCTTGATTTTGTTTCTTGTAACATTATGAGACGAGACTTAGTCTCTTTCCTGTTATGTAATTGTTTTTTTCTTCTTTTACTTCTTGCACTCCAATTTCTTTTTGTTTTGCTGCATTTTGCTGGCTTGCATGAGAGAGAGAAAGTTAAAGGGTTCTGTGTGTGTGCGCGCGTGTAATACATTTAATTATCTTTTCTGCAGATAGGTGATCATTCAGCTAAGTTACTGGTTAGTTCTGGAAAACAGATTAGGACAAACACGGTTAAAACCCCTAGGAAGGATACCGTTGCTGGGTTAACTTGCTCTAAGATTGAAATTGGAGTTTCATCTAGGGGCACTGTGGTTGTAGATGGTCAGAATAACGTACCTGAAGATATTCCAAGCAATTCTAATGGCAGTTATGCAGGGAAAAGTTTTATTGAGAATGATTATGAGAATAAGGACGTAGTAGCTCCCAGTAGTATTGGTGGTCATAGTCGTCATTCTACACAAGGCGACCAACCTTTTCCAACCTCTCCATGTAGAACGGAAAGTATGGATGACTCTGAAATAGATAGTACAATGGACGATGAAGGGTCACCCGTTTTTGCTGTGTCTACCCAATTTACCAGTCCATCCCCTGGAATTTTAGATTCTCCATCAACTGAAGATTTACTTGGAGATCATGCAGATGAACTTACCATGTTTAATGATTGTGATTCTGCCACTGTATCTGTCATATTGGATTCTCCAGTTACCTCTCATTCTTCCAGCAATGACCTTTTTCTGCAGACAGCTCCGTCGTGTCCAGAGTTGCTGGTACCAGAGAGGGAACGGCACTGGAGGCGTGGAAGTATGCTTCATGTTGACTCTGAGAACCTTTCTTCAAGCAGTTCTGATGAGAGAAGAGTTCATGAATCAAGGCTCAACAATAGAAGACTATTTTGGGATGCATTTTCCAGGAGGAGCCCAGGCAGTTTTGCTGATTCAAGGAACTCTGTATTTTCAAATGATGATTTAGATGATCTAGGGTCTCAAGAGATATGGCCTCGTGACCTTGGTGGGGGCTCTTTTAGTAATAGGGTTGGAGTGAATTACAGGTCTCACCAGAGTCAAACTCAATCTCGTGGTTACAATGATGAACATCATTTAAGATCAGAGGTGACCTTTAACAAATTGTAGCTACATTTTGTTTTATATTACTCATTGTCTTATTGAGGGGAGCTACACGACTGACCTTTTAAGTTCTTACTACCTGTGCTTTACAGATTCTAGAAAGACTTGGTGAAACTATTGCTAGTGATCACACAACCTCAAATTGTCCAGCAGGTATTCACCTTAATGGCACATGTATGTGTGAGTCAATCTTGATGGCTAATGAGTTGGGATCCAGAGCAAGTATTTCACGTATCGTCATGCTTGCTGAAGCATTATTTGAGGTAATCCTTGTCGATTGAATGGATCTTTCTTCACCAATTGTATGGAACTGTACTATCCTATGCATGAATTTTCCCTTGCATCTGATTTTTTTGGACCGTTATTTTGCCTTGGAATATTCTCCAAGGTTTAAAGCTTGTCTCTTTTTTTCTGTGGGAAATTGTGGTGTGGACGTGTGGTGCTTATGCAGATATTTGGAATATTGTTTGGGTTATGTCAAGATGCACCCTTAAGTTTTCTAAATACACTCCAATTGCTCAACATATGCATTTCGAAATGTGGGCATCTTTAGTACATTTTGAGGTGCATTCACTCCATTCAGCATTACAGCCCCACAGTATGTTTTTGTTTTAGTGTATGGAATATTTTGGCCTCTACCTTGCATGTCAGAAAATTGAATTTAAGGCAAGAAAAATGACTCATTTTTGTTCTTGAAGCAATAAGCTGCTAAGCTATTCCTTCTAAGTTATGTGTTAGAAAACAATAATGTATTTCCAAATTCCAAACCAAATGGTTCTTCACACAAAGAGCTAAGCTATAATACGTTCTGGATTACAAGTTATAAAACTGAGAAAGCTTCGCCAATGTTGTGGATCAAGGGCATTCCATTCTAAAATCAAAGAACTTTGAAAAACACATTGAAATGAATGCAATCATCTCCCTATTTTTTTAAAAGTATACGTGTTTTTAACAACAAACAATTTAGAGTGTGTAGGAAAGAACATAGAGCAGGCTTCCATATTACAATAGGCAAAGAAAGCAAAATTATTGGGGCTAAGGCCGCTTAGCTAGCAACAAAGACGGGAACACGTGGAACCATTCTAAAAGAGTAAGAACAACCTAAATACAAACACGGATCATCCCGTAGAAGAGGGCACACCATAACATCCAACACCAAAGAATAAGAAATCAAAGTGGTGGTGGTATGCCGGGACAAGGAGCTACAACAGTGATGTTCTTGAGGTACTGCAAAGAGTGAACATCCTGGCATCCTAAGCAAACGAAGCATGAGTCAGCATAAGAGGTGCAAGTAGTGCAGGATATGACAAAATGATGCCGAAGATAAGTGTGTGAGGAGATGGATAACAATCAAAACATCTTACAAAACAGCTGGCAGCCTGGCTCGCGCCCACCTAAAAGATGATAGAGAAAAAGTAACTGATGTACAACTATGGGCCCGTGGCCAGACGTCAACCAATTGACCACTAGCAGAGTGTGGGTTCCATAATCCCCAAATGTTGTCCTTAACACGTACCAAATGAGTGCACTTATGAGAAACCATTAATCACACATATGGATGCATATTATCTGCAGGCACGGTAGTTATAGACTGATAAGAACATGATGCAAACAGAGCCGTTTTGAGCAAATGTACACTGGGGATTTTTGGCCTTTACCAGAGCCATCCTTTTGAGCTAGGACACCAATTAACTGCTGCATCACGAGAACCAAATAACCACACATGCTGGCACTAACATACCAAAAAACTGTGAGTGCATACCTGTGCGGCTGTGCCTGTTAACCACATACATGATCATTAAGGCATCCTGAGTAGAACATGATGCAAAGAGAGCCTTTTTGAGTGAATGGGCAGTTACGCAGACATGGTCTTCATTGGGAACCATCCCCGGGCTTAGGTACCACTTAACCACTGATAACAAACGAACTCAAAACCTTTTCAACACCTACAGCAGCCATCACTTCCAAACTAACTACTATGTAATAACCTTTGCAGAATTGCAGCTCCTATATTTTTCAATAACTATTTTTTTCTTAGTTAGCAGCCTTTACAAAATGGAAGTGAGTTAAAGCATCTACCTGAATTATGGTTGTTGCTTCTATCTTAAATGCTATACATGCAGTGTGAAATTTATAATCCACGTGTTCTAATTGATAATCAACATGTAGTTTCAGCATTCATGCTCCTGTTCTGATAATTCTCAATTTTCTCTGAGATTATTGAATTAAAAATGTTCATGTGAAAATCCAAGGAAGTACCAGGGATATACGAAGCATTTATTGGCATGTATCCAGTTCATGGTGTGTATTTTATGCATACATATGCCAGGTGGAGGCCGTGGAGCCCATTTATGGGATTTTACCGGATTGCTTGTTGTTGCTGTATATAATAGGTGGAAATGATTAATATTTCAAGAAACTTTACACTATATGTATCAGGACTAAACAAACCCTACCCCTGCAAACCTCTTCTTCTTGCTGAGTTTGTGTGGGACTGTGGGTGGGGTTGGAGATAGGATTAAGACCTAATTAAGTACCTGGAGTGGAACTTCTCTATGATTTAAAATATTCAATCTCCTTTGGCTCTATCCAGCTGTATTTTGTGTGTAGCAAGGTCACACAGATTTTTTGTACTGTAGATTAAAAATAATAAACTTTCAAGCTGCATCAGACACTAAATGTTCAGCAATTCATATAGATTTAGTGAATTAATTGTAGAGAATAGCAGCCATTTTTTGAACAATGTGTGAGGCATTCCTAGTTACTGATTCATTCGCTGATGAATGATAATTGGGTGAAGCATCATGGATTCATGGTAAATGGAAAGGCCAAAAACTAAAACGTCATGCCAGTAAACACATTTTTCTATTTCATTTTCTTCATTTTTTATCTCTTCTATCCCTCTTGGCTCTCCCTTTTATGTTAATATTATACAAACTACAATTTGAGCTCAAGCATTGCTGTATAAGTTTCCACCTTAACCCAATTAATCCCCACTTAGGGGTGGCTCATCCCTATAAAAAATGGTACATGCAGATAACCGAGTTTGATTCAAGCTTTTAAAAATTTAAGTTTTATTTAAGGTTTGTTAATTTTAGCAAATATGATTTACTTCTGAGCATTTGTCTAGTATTCCTTTGTGGGTCATCTCAATCTATTTGTCCACTTTCCATTCAAGGAGAAGAAAAGAAGAAGCTTTGACTTATTTGCCCCCACTTTATACTTCGACTCCTCACTCAAAAAGTAAATATAGGGGCATAATGATCACTAGATCCTTTTCCCCCTTTCTCCTTGGTTCATGTGCCATGATGAATATGGACAAATATACTGTGGGATGAAGAGAACATCTTTAGAAGCAACGGAAAATTAAAGCAAAATTCTAATTTGGAAATTGTGCACTATTATTAAAGACAATTATACTCCGGTAATAAAATAGTATGTTTTACAAATAATTTGAATTTGTATCATAGAGAATGGGACTTATGAATGTTATATTCCATGATTTTTGCTCAGCTGTCAGCACCCAACAATATTGTACATGATCTGCAGGTACTGGATGAAATACATCAGCAACCGATGACCCTCCCTTTATCTATGCCTTCACTTCCAGCACCGGAATCAACTGTTGATTCTTTGCCCATAAAGAATCATATAAAGAAGGATGGACCTTCTGATGGAAATGATGTAACGAAGTGAGTATTTCTATTCCTCTAACTATTACCTCTGACCCACTATCTTTAGGACATTAGGATGTGACATGCATGTTTAGGAAAAGTAGAATTTATGATGATATTTAATAGGTAAAATATGGAAGAAGAAAGTATGGTTTTGAACAACACAAATATGACAACTATGTAATTTGACAAACAAGATATAAAGAGACAAAGATCGTGGGACGGTGGGAGTACTATATTTTACATAACTGCATGTTTTCTGTTTGCTTTGCTCTGTTGCTCAGGAGTGAACTGAACAGAGTAATTCTTTTAGTCTTGTTACTTTCTTGTTTCTTCCTGTTCTTGTGTTGATTGAGTTTGATGTTTACTCCTTTGCTCTGGGAGCATTTTATGATTCCAGTTTATCCCTTATGCCATTTTCAATCTCTATCTCTTTCCTTCTCCCTTGTTTTTGTTTCGTAACGAAAATAGGATAATTGATTTTTTTTTCCTTCACCACAGACACATCACACACACACACAACCCAAGTATTACAATACCAGTACTTTGAACTTATGAAAAATTGGTGTATATTTGAGCATGGATAACTGATTTTGTTTTGAAAAAACAACTTTTTGTAAGTTTTTTTTCTGGAAAATGTAATGAGATTATTGATATTTTTTTTATATTTTTTATACTTAATATTTCTCTGTTATATCTGTTTATTTACTTGTTGATTTTGTTCTTACCGTGTTCTTTTGTGTTTTGATCTTGGGGTCTGTTCGAAATACTCTCTGTACTCTCTAGGTAGGGATAAGGTCTGTGTACACTCACACTCCCAGACCCCACTTTGTGAGATTTTATTGGATATGTTGTTATTCTATATATTTCTCCAAACTTATCAATATTACTTTCTGAAATTCCTTGGAGATTCTAGATAAATTTCACTACACCCGTTTCAATTTTGGAGACTTCAATCAAAATAAGGAAATTTTGATTGACTTTTCAAAAACACTGGGACTCACAACTCTATTTTCCATGTAGCTGCTACATATGTTTGGCCGAGTACGAGGAAGGAGAAAAGATACGAGTGCTACCATGTCACCACGAGTTTCACATGTTGTGCGTTGATAAATGGCTAAAAGAGATCCACGGGTAAGCTTCCTTTTGCACCTATGTCTGCATCCAGCTGTTTGTCTTCTCTTGAGTTCCCATGCACGAACGTTTCATTCATATACTTTTACTTGTGCTGCAGCGTGTGCCCACTTTGTCGTGGAGATGTTCAACAAGGTTTTGTGTAAGATGTTGCTGTAATAAACTCAGATATCTTTTCCCTCTAAGCTTTAATGCATATCGGGCACGGAAGCATATGGAAATTATGGTTCCATTTAGGTGGTATTGTCACCGTAGTGAGCGAAATATATCTTTGCCTCTTCTTGTCATGAGGACACAAGATGATGTAATTTTTGGATTAAAATCAAAGTTGTGTTTGTCAAAAAAAAACCTTGTACATAACAAATGTATGTAGGTCGGTTGCAGATATGAGATCTCTTAGCTAGAGTTAGAAGACACACACTATTAGCCTCAATAGAGAGAGCATGTGCACCTTCTCTTTTATATCTGGTATCATTGTAAAAATGATCTTGTAACAAAAACATGAGTAATAGCTTATAGTGATATGCTGCAGCTCTATGTTCCCATTTTTATCTGTTCGTTATGATGCACATTAAATACTACTCCCTCCGTTCCATGTATAAACTGTCTGTATATTATTCACTTTTTTAATTATTTTCTTAAATATTTGTAACTATTTCCCATATTCCCATTTTTTATCTGTGGGTGGCTTTTAGTGTGGGCATTTATATGTTACTCCTTCCGTCCCGTTTTAAATCGCCCGTTTTGACTTTTGGGCATATTTAAGGAAAATTAAAAATAGAGTTGATGTTTCGAAATTGTCAATACTTTTTAGAAGGGATGATGTTGAATGAGAATATAATGTGAAAAAAAAGACTTATTTTAGAGGTAGTTTAGATATTTTATTTTTAAAAGTTTACAAAAAGAACTAACAAGCAACTTATTTTGGGACGGGGAAAAAAGACAAACAGGCAATTTAAAATGGGACGGAGGTAGTAATGTATTTGACTTTCAAGTGAAGCAAGATCCCAAGGCTACAACCTTCGACTTTGGTTGTTTGGCCTGCTTCTGCAACGCCTAAACGATGCGTAGGGTGAGCTTTCCAAGTCGGACCAAAAGATATCCCTTGGTATAACAAAATATCCCTGACCGAATCGCAACATTTAGATTTTCAGACTCGCTTGTCTAAGAAAATAATCGTAGACAAGGAGAAGAACGGGTTTGTAATGTTCCCCGATTCCCATTTTTCCCACATTAATATGTTTTGTATGTATTCAAAACAGCTTATATATTCAATATAGAAAAAAGAAGAGGGGGCCAGAAAAGGGTTCTGGTTTGTTCATGGGGTGACATTACATTTGATGGAGCTTATTATAACACATCAAAGAAGGGGTTATACTTGAACCCTCCTTTATCAATGCCACTGCTGCTGCTAGTATACATCATGCCATCACTACTACCAAACATATTTGGGTGACAATTCTCTTCATTTTCATCGTCTTCGTCGTCCTCTTTTAAGGTTTCCCATTTCTTGGAGTCGCTTTTGTGCTTCTCTTTTTGCGCATATGCTCCCATCTCTGCCACATGCTTCTCGATTTCTCTACTCACCACCCCCAAGATTTCATCCCCATACCGATCGCACCACTCCCTGAAAATCATCCACGGAGTAAGGTAAAGAATACGTTGCATTATTATTCTTATAAGATTGCTACTACGGCGAGATTGTAAAAAAAAAAGTTTAATAACAATTCCTACTTGGGGAAGAACATTTTCAGGTCAGCTTTGTCAACTGGGAGCGTCGTTGAAATTGCTTCAATTTGATCATCCCTGAAAGTTAATTGTGCATCACACTAGAGATTAATTTAAAAAGAATACTCCCTCCACAAAGAGATTTAGATTCCAGCTTCTTACGTGAATTGAACACAAGGATTCTTTTCACTCAGTTTTGTCTGGATTCGCGACAATTCCTTCTTTATATTCTCCCCCAAAACCTGCAGCCAGATTCTTTCAGCAAGGGGAAATAATGTATAGGCAATAATATAGCAACACCATAGAATAAAACTTGTGACTGTATGTGTCTTATTATTATAATGGGACAGACCTTATTGACATAGAAATCAGGAGTGGCTTTCCTCTTGATCGGCTTCCTATCTGATTTCTCAGCCATTGACAAGGGAACCGTTTCGTCCTCCGAGGGATCTGTTTTCTTCCACTTCTTGAAACCATCAAACCCCCCCGCCCATTGTTTCTTCTTCGCTGCTTTCTCGGCCTCCTTCTTCTTCTTCACAAAGGGCACCGGGGCCGAGGAGCTGTCTTCCATAAGGATCGACTTTGTTTCGCTCCAAAATGGATTTTCCATAGAATGGGAAAGAGGGTTGGGATCATTTGTTTCTTCTTTCATCATCGTCTTTTCACCTCTAGTTTGCTTCTTATTAGGGGTCAAGTCTATAACAGACCACTCCTCATCTGGAATACTATCTTTCTTTGATCTTAAAATCACATTTCTTGCCTCAATCTCACCCCCTTGAACTGCTAGCCTTTGCAACAGAGGCCTCTTTGACCAATGATACTCCTCCTCCGATATGCATTTCGCATAGAATAACTCCTAGAATTGGATTTCATGTTAGAATATAAAACCTTAAGAAATCACGCAAACTATGAGTAAAACATAGAAAAGCTATACGGAAGCAGGATGTTTTTTATTCCGAAATATGAAGGAATACAATGTCGACCTGTAAGAAGATGAGCTTGTCTCTTAAAATGGAGGAGTGCTCGAGATCGGGAGGAGAAGCGGTGAGGGTGTCGAGGAGGTGTGAGCGGAAAGCGGAGACCTCAGACTCGGCCAGAATTCCCTCCTTGCTGAGCCCCATCAAGTTCAGGATTTGGTGGAAGGAGTCCTGCTGCCATTTGAGGTTGTCCGACTGCTGCTTCGACAGCCGCTGCTCGGCCGCCGCGATCGCAGGCAGCCGCGGCTTCTTGAAGGAGGAGAAAGGCTGGAGGATGTTCTTGCATAAGGAGGCGATGGATTCGTGGATGGTGGTGCCGTAGTATGATGATGATGATGAGGACACCATTCTGCTAATCAATCAATGAATCTTTGTTTTTTTTGTTCTTGGCTTTGGTTTAATTATGTGAAAGGACGAAAAAACGGGTTCTCTTCTTATCTGTCTGAAAATGGAAGGCTCCGTTTATGTAGTGTGGACTGTAAAAGTGTGTACACGGTCGGATGGGAACTAGCCGTTGGGGTTTTAAACGTTCCCACCATGAGGGTAGTCAAAAACTACATCGTTTCTTTCTAGACAATATTGTACTCCCAAAATTTTGTTTAGAGTAAATTTTATATAATTGATCTTTTATAACAGGGAGGTTTTCCTATTTAATCCTCTATTATTTCATCTGTCCCATTTTACAATGGCTGTTACAGTTTACGATGACTGAAATTTATTTCGAATCATTTTATATAACAAATGGTATAAAGTTAAGAAATAAAAATTATATATTAAAAAACTATATCAAAAGATCTGCAAAACTAGTAGTGACAATAGTACTTTATTTTATCAAATTGCTAACGAAAATAAAGAAAGAAAATGAGTGAAGTTTCACCATGTGAATAGTGTATAATTTGGGACGGATGGAATATAAAATATTACCAAGTGGTCCTTCTTTTATGAGTATCTTTCGACCAATAGTCCTTTTTTGATCTTCTATCGTGTTAGTGTTAATTTGAGGGCTAAAAGTATAGTTTCCTAATGATAATATATCTTTTCTGTCATACACAATTCCAAAGGCTGTTCTGTTTGCGTCGTTTGTGAATTACAGTCGCTTTCTACTACAACCATAGTCTATAAATCTGATCTTTCGTCGGAATCCTAGCTCAGAATCATAGTCATTATTTTTGTGTTATCCGCTTAACCAATATCAGAACACGGCAATAGACATAATGTTGATGTCAAATTATACTGTTAGCCTTTAATTTAACATTAACATGGCAACAGATAAAAAAAAGACCATTTGTGGAAATACACCCTTAGAAAAAGGACTACGGGGGTAATATTTTATAATAGAAGACAAAATATGAAAACCTCCCTGTTACAAATGACCAATTATAGAATTTACTCTTTATTATATTTTATAAATCCTTCACTTTCCAACAATAAAGACTCTAATTTTATTCTTTTTTAATAAAGAATTTACTTTCTAACTATTTTAGAAATGTTTTTTGTTGTTTTAACATATTTTTTTAAAATATACGCGACTACTTGATAATATAAAAAATTATAAAAATTTATTATTTTAAAAAACAATGTTTTTTTATAATTTTTAAAAATTTCCACCATCTTAAAAGAAACTATTATTTATAAATTTTATCACGCATGGATCTTTATTAACTTCATAACATATTTCATTTTTTGTCTTATTACATTATTTATTTTAGGAGAATTTACATACTAAAACATATAGACTTTCCCAGTGTAGTACCATATTTTTTTATTTTTAATGTAGTACCACTAATCATTGTTCAAGTAAATGTCCACCGTCACTGACATTGTTCAAACTAAATGTCCACCATCACTTGACATTATTTCTGTCACTAAACATTATTCAAATACTCTTTAAGGAATAAAAAAGTTCCCCAGTATGCATAATTAGTTATTACGGAGTATATATCTAGAAAAGGTTTTATGAACTTTATTAGTATTTTATAAAAGAGAGCTTGATGTGGCTTTTAATAAACTATTCATTATTTCCCCTTTTATTATATCTCAAAATAAAGATTTATATAAAATAAAAGTTAATAGATGTACATGAATATTAAAACTAAAACTTTTTTCTCAAAGGAAAACTTTATAATTAGAAATTATTTATCAAGCACATCATATATCATTATCAAGGAATTTAAAATAAATGATATTTTATTTTTTAGATGTCAAAATTTAGAATATATGTAGAATATATGTAAAGTATTAGTCAAGTATGAGTGTGTTTTTTTTCGAGACTTGGCAATTGGCATTCGGCCAGCCGCCACCAATCCATGGAAGAAGATCCAAACAAGTATGTGTTTTTTTTCGATTCTTGCTTAGTTGACATTGGACGAGGGCCGGCCCAATAGGGGACAAACAGCCCGTTCGGACAGGGTCCATGAATATATAAGAAGCCCATAGCCCAATATGTCAAGTATCCTTCTTACTCGTACCCAAAGACGATATACGCAGGTAGAGAGCGGTCGACTGAACAAAATCGCCGGAAAACTGCTGGTAGAGAGACCCCGCCGCCACCAGAGTCCAGACGCCACCGGGAGCCGACCCTCCAGCCTCCAGGTATTCCGTATTCATAGCTTTCCAATTTTGTAATTTTTTTCTTTCATTTTTTCATTCTTTAGATTTAAAATCTAGGGTTAATTATTGAATTTTTAATTTGAAATCTTTTCTAATTGCTATCAAATAGAATGAGTTAATGATTCTATATGTTCTTTATTTTATTTGGATGAATTAATTTGAATTTATGATATATTTATAATTTTATTTATAAAAAACTGGAAACTGAACAAAAATTAAAAACTGAAAAATTGATATGAATTTATGATTTATAAAAAAATTAAAACTGAAAAACAAAAAATATAAAAATTGATGAATTGATATGAATTTATGATATATTAATTTACTTTTTTCTTCTAATAATATTGCGTTAATCATCTGTTGAATATAATTAGTTTACATATATTAATTTGTCAGACCATAAGGGATAAGATTTTTAGGATTTTTTTTCTGTTTAGGTCCAAGCCCATGAATTCTCGGGACTGGCCCAATAATTTATTTATTATTTATTTGGTCAAGCCTTTAATTTTATGATAATTTCTACACTCTAGTGTGATTTGTGACATGAGAAGTCTAGTTGTTTTTAGTGTTCAATTTTATGATAGTTTTGATTCTTTCATTTTTTTATTTTTGTACCAGAGTCAATGGTTGTCATGTCAAGCCTCCATTTTTTAATTTCATTTTCCCCTCAATTTATAAAGACTTTATACTCTAGAGTATATTTTCCTAAAAGAAAAATAGAAGTAGCATAGCGGATGGATCCTTTCGTAAGGTTCTTAGAGTACGAAGCCTAGGGTCTGTTATTTCTTGTTTTTTTTCTCCGTATTAATTGTATAAGTCGGTTCCAAATTTCAATTCTAATATATTAAAAGTCGCTTCCCTAATCTATTGCCCGAGTTGATTTGCCACATTTTCTTTTTTTCTATTTTTTGTCTACGGCCTGTTTTCTTTAGGCTGCCGTTGGATTCGCTGAGTCGGTCCTACGCCGAGCGATCAGACTGTGAGACGCCATTCTAATTTTATGCTCCTTATGATTTATGTATTTAATTAATTGTTAATTTTATGCTTTATAAATAGATTAGATTCATAACCTTTAGTGTTAGTTTGCAAACCTAAAATATTGAACCCTGGAATCATTCAATCACGGAAGAGAAGAAAAAAACTAAGACTTCTCTGAGAGTCCATTTTTTTGGCTTGCTAATATCGGATAAGAAACCTTTTGGTTTAGGCAATGTGGTGTAGCCTTCTTTTTGCCGCCGGTGCATTGTGACTAAATATGTTAAGGTGTGCCTCTTTGCACAATTTTGAACATTCTTGGGAGCAACAAAATTGCTACAGTTATGGATTTAGTTAATCTTTTCATTCTATTGCATTACTATGTAATGCGTACAATTCCTACTTCCCACTCTACATCCTTGAAAACAATTAAGACTAAAACTTATTGCTAACTATAAAAAACTCAAAATATTCTAGCCAAAAAAAGAACAACTTGAGACTGTTAAGCCAATGCTCCACTTGGCTTTGCCCTTTGGTGGTACAGTAGGCAGAACAGACTGCATTACTTTTTGCTAAATATAGACAGTTTTTTTTGTTAATGCTATCAACGTTGGTGCCTTAGTTTTTAGTTATTTAAATGTATTAATGTTTTTTTTAAAAACATGTGCAGCTTCTATTACCTGGAAATTTAGAAGTATTCACTTATTCATTCCTTCTCCCTCAAACAAATTCTTAGTTTACTAGTGGATCGAAGCTAGGGGTGGTGAAGAAGATGAGAAGAGAAGAGATTCAATTCACCAAAAAACTTTACACTGAGGACGTGGGCCCCCGCAAAATGTATGCTTTCATTTTTTCCCAATTTGAAATGTGATATTGTGTTTTTTGGTTTTTCGTGGATATCTTTTTGTTAGTTAATTTATACATTTTCCACAATTTTATTTCCATCCCACAGAAAAAGTATTCAATTTTCAACTTTCTCTGGTCCTGAAATTTTGAAATCAGCAGCAGTTCAAGTCTATCGTGGAGTTTACTATGATTCCACCCAGAAAGCAATTCCCAATGGCCTGTTAGATCCCCACATGGTAATTCTTGATTTTGTGATGTTTTGGTTGCATTCTTTTTCTAACCCCTAGAAGACTTGGAAGTATTGTTGGTTCGTACATACAATAATGCATTTTTTGATGCACAGTAGGTCAGTAGCTAATGAAGCCACTTAGCATACATATCTTATAAAAAATCTGAAGCTTCTTACCTATTGAAGCCAATCATTTTTGCATTTGTAATTTGTGAAGTAATGTAACTTGCTAGACTAAGTTATTGTATATTTGAATCTTTTGTTTTATTCTCAGCCCCATTTTTTATCTTCTGTTAACCCAAGACAATTTTTCTTTTCCTGATTTATTGTATTGGCGAGAAATGTGGTTGGTAAATGTTACGGACCTTTAAGATGGTCGGCTGTTTATTTAGAGCCAAATTCTGTAACTTGATAGTTTCCATTTTGTTTTACACGTTCTTTTTACTTTTCAACAACTTTCCTGAACTCTATGAAGTCAGACATGGTAATTCATTTGGGGATGGAGGGAGTACTTAGTCTTATACATGACATTTAAAACAATGTACACATGCAATTTTGTTCCCATTTTGAACACTATACACATGTATGCTATAAAATTTTGCTATTGACCTTCCAACTTTGCCCCTGCTTTAGAATTTTTTGATGTATTCTTCCACCTAAAAGTCAATTTGTAATTGTGGGGGAGAGGGAGTATGTAGGTAGGCACTTCAAGACTGAATAAGCTTGTAGTGCTAATAGTTGACAAAGATGAAGAGTGCTGGTTCGAATACACATTTTAATCTTTAATGACAGAATGTTTGGTCTCGAGTTTTGTTGACAATTGACATGTCTTTTGATTGTTTACAGCAAAATGATTGGAGTTGTGATATCATGTAACCTTATTCTCTAATCCGTGTGATATGTATGCCCATATCAATGTGCATTCCCATCATTCTGTTAGGGAAGTCTAGAGAATCACCTATTGTAATTGCATTATACGATCATGTATAGGTAACTTATAAAAGTTTTGGTTTTAGGGGCCTCCAAACAAGAACAAATCATGTGCAACATGCAATGGAGAATTCAAACAGTGTCCTGGTCACTATGGATACTTAAAACTTGCTCTACCAGTTTATAATGTTGGATATCTGGACAACATTGTGACCATTTTGAAATGCATATGCAAGGTACAAGCTTTTGCATCCTTAGATTGCTGTTATTATGCATCTTTTCCAGTGGATGGGTTCCTTTGAATGACATGCCTGAAAGTAAATATGCATTGTTTGATGTAGGCAATTATTCTTAGAATCCTACTAGTTACTCTACAAATGTTAACATGTTCTGCCATTATGGGTTAAGTGGGTTCAATTGCTGGATAGGTAGTTACATTGCTCTTCGTCATGAGCATTATGGTATTTGTTTATATCATTGTGATGATGTAAAGCAATAGATTATAGATTGCACAACATTTTGACCTTCTCACTTCAGGATGTAGTTCTATAAGAATTCCTTCGTGTTGCAGTATTTAGGAATATAACTCAATAAATCACGATCCATAATTTGTCTGGAAGGGTATTGAACTACTAGGGTTGCATGTTGTAGGGTGAGGGCTGGGTTATGGAGCATCTATCTAAGACTAAATTCTCAAAATGGTTCTTTCGAGTATTTTTCCAAATCAGTCCTCATAAGCATTAATTATACCTACGTGGTACTTTTTTAAAAATGTCGGGTTAAGTGGAGGGTGTTTTGGTATTTTCCTTAATCTTAAGTTAGAGCAAGTTTTCAAAATGGTCTTTTCTAATTAGTGGTTTTCCAAATTAGCCCTATGATGGTGTAATTATAATTTCATTCCATTTGTTCACTGTGGGACACCCCAATGTCATGTGGCTCTCAAGGTTTATGTTGGTCAATTTTGAATGGGGATGATCTCAGCTTCTGCCCTCCACTTTAGGTATGCAGAATTTTGATAAAGTTCGTGTATGAAATATATGTTAATCTTTTTTTTGGAAAATAATTATATATATATGTGTGTGTGTGTGTGTATGTATAGATTTTGGTTCTGGTGAGAATATAATCTAATGAGAGAATTAAGAATGTTTCTACACCGTTAGATTAACTATTATTGCTGACTTCCAAACTAAATTGATACCTAATTAATGAGGGTAATTTAGTGAAATGGCCATTTTCATTAACTATAGCCACATGGTCTCTATTTTTGGGGAGTACTCAGTTTCTTTAATTACAGTTACATTGTCAATTTCTTTATCAATTAATCCCACTTTTTAATTTCTCTATTTCTCTTGCACCAAAATAAGAGTTCAAGTCATTTTGCACCTTTTAGTTTTATACAAACGTGTAAATGGAGTAATTTTCAAAAAAGATTAGATTTTGCACGTTTTTCGAAATGGGAAGAAAAAAAATGGACATAGAGTATTTTTTTCTCGTTTTGTTTTTTATTCACTTTACTGTTTTTCTCTCTTTTTTAGTTATATTTGTGTGGTTCATACATTTATGTTTTTACTATTTAACATCAACATAATAATTAGTGCACCGAGTAATAACAAATGTGCACCAAAAATAGTCTGATTTGCATACTACTTCATAATATCAACATACTAATAATTTCAAAATTTAATTTAGATAGGCAAGAGATTTCACAACGACAAATTCAGTAGAATTTTACCTCATTAGAACTCCAATATAGTAAAAATTAAATTACTTTACATACAATTAAGCATGGCATTGAGTAATAACAAATGTGCACTGAAAATAGTCTGAGTTGCATTATCACAAAATCAATTTATTACCTTTCATAATACAAGAACAATTGAATAAGTCATTTAAAGCACCATTACTATCGCTCAGTGCATACGTTGAGACCATTGAGTGCACCACTATAAGTCTGAGTTGCATAATTAGATGAAAATAATTATATACTAAGGTTGTGTTTCGTTAGGGGTAAAATATTTTCCTTGAAGAATATTTTCCAAAGGAAAATGATTTCCAAGGAAAATTATTTTCCAATCATATTTTTAGTTGTTTGGTAGGAAGGATTTCTCAAAAAATAATTTCTTTTATTACTCCATCTGTTTCTTAAAACAATTTCTCTTTCACTTTTTTTTGTTTCTCCAAAACACTTCTATTTTTGTAAATTTAAAATCTAAAATATAAAAAATAAAATTAAAAATATAAAATTTGAAATTTGAAATTTAAAATTTCGAATTTCAAGTTTCAAATTTAATATATAAAAGTTAAAATTTCATATTTCAAATTTAAAATTTAAAATCTAAATTTAAAATTTTAAAATTAAAAATTTAAAATTACTCGTATTTAAGAGTGTCATGACAAAGTTAAAATTCTACTAATTACGCTATAAATTGTGCAAAATTCCAAAAATAAATTTGAAATGGGTTTACTATAAAGCCCTCGGTCAGACGTGCTGTAGAAGCCTAAAAATTATCATTTATGGCTTTCCTTTCTAATTGACATTATTTTAGTCGTTCGCCAAATTCATTTTTGCCGTAGGATGAATGAATTTAAGAGCCAGATTTTATTCTCATTTCTTTCATGGAAGGTCTTTCTCACAGGAACTGCACCCTATATGTGTGTGTGTGTATGGGTGTGTGTGTGTGTCTATATATATATATATATATATATATATATCTCATGTAACTATAACTCTTTTTTTAAAAGTAACTCTTGTGTCAATTTCAATAAAGTTCAGGAGTAAAATATGTGATTATTTTTTTATTTTTGGAAATTTTCTTTATGAAAGCCCATGTGACTATTTTTGTTTCTGCTTTTCAAAAATAAGTTCATGTCAAGTCCAATAAATTTCAGGTGTAAAATACATGTGATTATTGTTATATGATTTTTTTTTTTGAATTTTTATGTGAAAACAAATGTTACTATAATTTTTGTTATACTTTTTTTTATAATTAATCCATTTGACAATTCCAGTAAGCTTTAGTTGTAAAATATATGTGATCCTTTTTATTTTTTGGAAAATATTGTTTTTGAAATGTATCACATGTGACTATTTTTTTTGCTTTTTAAAAAATAAATTAATTTCATATTTTACTAATTATTTCTTTTTTATCCATGTGTTCTATAAGTTTTTAATATTTTACTTTATTTATAATCATTTATTGATGTTGGAATAATCTATGGGCTTTAAGAATCTAAACTAATCTTGATATGGTGTAACAAAATGCTTTAAAATCTACAAGTCCAGGAGATTTAAAGCAACCTATTGACTATTGACTTCAATAAAGTACAAAATCCATTGAATTTACATAATCTAGGGGTTATTAAAAGTATATCAAAATTTTTTAAAATTTGAATTGAATGCATCCCCATAATAAGAAAAGACCATTTTGGGAAACCACTTAATTAGAAAGGACCATTTGAGAACTTACTCTAAGATTAGATTGAAAATACCAAAAATGTCCCCCACTTAATAGCCATATAACAATTTTTTTTATGGAGGATTACCAAGAGAATACATCTCAATTATAAAGTACCACGTTGGTAATTATTGCTTATTGAATGCTGACTTGGGAAAACACCTTATTAGAAAGGATCATCTTGGGAATTTACTTAAAACTTAATTTGCTAATAAAACTTAGAAGGATACTCTTGAGGAGCTTGAACATGATTAGAAGTTGGCGAATATCAAATCTTGTATAGAAACATGCGAACTCTTTGAAGATTAATTGCTCTTTTTTTGGGATTTTACATTTCTTTATTTTCAATTTCAAATTGACTTTATCAAAAATTGCATGATGTTCCATGTGGTGCTAGGGAACAGTATGAAAGAGTCGTTATTTACCATAGAGTTTTCTGACACTTGCTCTATGCCTTTAATTTTTGCAGGGCTGTTCACGCATTCTTCTCAGAGAAAATGATCGTCAAGACCTCCTAAGGAAGACGAGGAATACGAAGTTGGATCATTTGAAGAAGAATGAGCTGCAAAAAAAAGTTTTACTGAAGTGCAACAACCTGACAACAGGCCACAAGACGGCATTATGTTCTAGATGTGGATACATCAATGGTTTGAAAATTTTTATGTACTTTTATGTATTTGTGAGGCTGCCTATCTGGCCTTGTGAGTAGTGATATTTTCTAATTACACACACCACCACCCCACTAGAACTAAAACAATTAGAAGTGAACACTTGAAGGAGCAAAACACATATTCTATATTTGTGTCATTATTTTGAATAAAAACAGGTAATACTCCCAAAGCTAGCACCCCTCAGGTTTTAGTAATTTCATTGTTGGCTTGTTTCCTTATTTTTCCTATGAATAATGCATCATGTATAGTGTATGATACTGTATAATTTATTTTTTGAAGTCTATTTGAGCAGATAATCAGTCTATTGTATTGATCATATATATTATATATATATTCTAGGCATGGTAAAAAAAGGCCCTATGAAGATCATCCATGAAAACGGAAGGCAGTTTGTAGATGAGTGCCATAATGCTCTTCCTAACAAGGGATCAATTAATGTGCCTCCAGAACTTAACGCGATGACAGTTTATTCCCTTTTCATGAAAATGACAGATGAGGTACTGATTTGACGTCTACTATTTATTTAATCAATACTTGTGCTTATTGTGTAGTTAATTTTTTTTCCTGCCATACAATCTTAGTTTTGTTCCTGCTTTTTGTTGTTTCCTATGTTAAACCTAGCAAAGTTGATTTTTTATACTTTTTCAGTATCGTGCTAATACCCTTGTTGGCTTAGTTTTTTAAAGGTTTAGTAATAAATTCATATTGGTTACTTTTTATTTCTTATTAACAATTTTCTAATTCATTTTTCTTTTTTATTTTTTAAGTCATGTATCAAACCCAAATAATATTATTTTTAAAATCTTTTTAGTAGCAATTTTCTTGGTTGTACAAAATTTCAAAAATGCTGGAATAGGATTACCTTCGGTAAAACCAAATGCTATTTAGATGTGAATTTTGAGATAGGTGTATGGACTCAAAGAAGAAATCAATATCGTGTCTATGGAATTAAAATATGTACTAAAATGGTATAATATTCCTGTCCAAATACTCGCAACATTTTCTTTCCGCCTTGACTCGTCACATAAATTAAACAAGATGAGGTGTAGCTGTGGTTTATTTAGAAAGATATAAGAACCTTTACATCCTCAAAATATTTACTCAAGAATACACAAAAGGGGCATGCTACATGCACCTTGATTTGCACACAATGGTGACCTGACTATACAACATTTGTTGCATCGACTTTTTAGAGCCTTATTTAACAAATCTTATCCTTCCATATTAACAGCACAAGCCAGTTTGAGTGTAATCTCAATGCAAGTTTAAAATTTCAATAAATAAAAGCTGCCATTGTATCTTTCCCAGGGCTATAAAAACTCCTTCAAGTGTTTTTATGATATGAAATAAGGTGGGTAACCTTAATGTATCTCCTGCTAAGTCTCAAATAATATATCATTGTAGAAGTGTCGTACTAAAAACTTATACTCCATAGACAAGAACATATGAATAAAGACATCATCAATGTTCCTGCCTATAATTGCAGTTGGGATATACCTGTCAAAAGTACAATGAGGTATGTAGTTAGGAGTTGGCCCCAATAAGGACATACATAAATATGCTATTACAAGGGAAAGTAATTTTAAGCACCACTTGACTAAAGACATGTTATGTTGGCCTAATAGCAAATCTAAAGACTAATTACGAGTACTATAGTAGTTCTTAGTATAGCTTATGCATCAGTAGTTTTCTATAATATCCTACAGAAGACGGCAGGGCAGTCCGCTCATTGTTTTGAAGTATTTTAGCCTTACATTCTATACTCTTTAGTCCTTCATAATTAAATGAAGTGTGAATGTGTGAGATACCCTAGCTTTAGGTTTTACACATGGTTAAATAGTTGCTAATTTTAAGTTGAATTTAAATATGAACTCTTCACATACAAAAAGTACATCATGTTTAGCGCTTAACATTACATTGTAGCAGGTATCATTTTCTGTTTCCTAATTATAGTTCTTCTCATATTCCTATCGTGTGTAGGACTGTGAGCTGCTTTATCTCAGTGATAGGCCAGAAAAACTTCTGATTACAAGTATCCTTGTGCCACCCTTATCTATCCGTCCTTCTGTCTTTTTGGATGCTGGACTGCAAAGGTTTGTCTTGCTCAATTTTATGTGAGCTATTAATGAGGATTTAAGCTTTTGTTGTGAAAATTCATTGGTTACGGAATATGTGCTTCTTATAAAATCTATTATGTGACCTAAATACTGTTGAGCATGGTTAGTTGATTTTCTTGTAAACACCAAGAAACGTAGTTGCACTTAGACATCCAGTCTGTTTATATGCCTTATATGCCTCGGCCTGTTGTAATTACTTGAGCATAGAACTAGAAAACTTTCTACTATGCAATTCTTGGGTTGATGGAATATGGTGTTCCATGTCAAAGCTGTTAAGTCATGCTAATTACTCTTGATTATGGTTATTAGTAGGATGGGTGAATAGCACCACCGCCCCCTCTGGTTTTGAACAAGAGCTCCAACACCCCCTGTGTTTTCTAAAGTATCTTATAATATACCTATGGTTTGTAAAGGGTGCATGTTAATCCCTTGTGTTGTTGAATTATTTTTTGTTTGGTATTCACACCCTAGGCATGCGAATGGAATGCAATTTACTTTTTACTTCCTCCATCTCAGAGTATTTGTCTAGTTTTATCTTTTTGCACTCAACTCAGATCGACCTTTGACTTTTAACTAAATAAAAATTACATGCTATATTAATTTGATGAAAAATATTTTGAAAATATTTTACAAAATAAACCTAGTAAAATTGTTCTTGTATCAATTTGTATGATAAACTTTGACCATTAATTAAATATTTTTCCGTCCCATAACGTTTGTCACAATTACTATTACGGCTTCATAATAACTTTTGTTTGTTTGTATGTTTTCATTGATCATTTGATAAAATAAAAGATTCTTTTCATATCATATTTGTGAACTTTTGATATACTTTTGAACGGTGTAAATTGTAGCTTAAATTTTTACACCCATTTTTGGTTAAATTAAATTTAAGTGATGAAATTTTGTACATTGTTTGGAGAGACAAACATTGTGGGACGGAGGGAGTAAAATTTATACTCCTTCGTAATATATATTGGTACAAGAATATTTTTATTAGATTTATTTTGTGAAACATATTCACAATATTTTTTATCCAATTAATATAACATGTATTTTTATTTAGACAAGTAAAACGTTGATGTGACAGCAAGAAGTTAAAATTTGACAAACATTCTAGGATGAAGAGACTACAAAGTAAAAAAACGAGTTCCATTTGCATGCCTAGTGCGTGGATACTGAACAAGAAGCAAATCAACATCGCAGGGGGTTAATGTGCACCCTTTACAAACCATAGGTTTATTTTAAGTTACTTTTGAAAACACAGGGCGTGTGGAGCTCCTTTTTGAGGGGGTGGTTGTGCAATTCACCCTTAGTAGGATACTAAGAAGTTTAGGGCTCATTCAGTAACAGTATCAGTTTTAAATTTTTGGTCTATGATTTTTTAAGCCATGTGATATAAGTTGTATAATGAATTAAAAGTAGTCATGATTATGAAAAATCCAGCATAGTGCCACCATCTAGATGTAGATCTGCCGCTGCTGCCATTGGGAAGTAGATCTTCCGCCGTCGCTGTCCTCATCACTGCTAGTTTTATTGTTTTGATGCTTTCGACTTCATTCCTTATTTCCTTTCTTTGTTTTCCGTAATTGTCTCTTTTGTTTTACCTTTTTGGGCTGGGATGGGTCGAGGGACGGGTGATGGATCTGGATTGGATGTCAAATTTACAACAACGAAAACAACATTTCCCAGTGCCTCAAAGGGTCCTACCCATTGCAGCCTTGCGGGGTAAGGGTGCTTCTCGTAGCCTGAGTGACCCTATGTTTAAAACATAGAGCGACTGTTTTAACATGACTCATGATGAGTGTTGAAAGTTGCATTGACTAACTTCTACTTCCCTATTAGAGAAGCGCATACAGCTTACAGAACCTTTTTGCTGTATTCCATCATACCCCAAAACTTAAAATAGAGAATTCCTAGCTCCATCAAAGATGGAAGCAATTGGATATCAATTTTACACAAAAAAAAAATACACGTAGTATATTAAAAAAAATTAAAAATACGGAGTGCTTGAGTTCTGGTTTATTTTAGAGCAATTAAGCCTCCGTTTTGGAGTACTACTTTATTTGAAAAGTACTTTTCTAAATGTCTGATTCTTAACTTATGTTTCAAGCGGTCTCCTGGGCGACCAGGCAGTACATTGGCTTGGCACCGTGACAACTATGATCCGTACCATGACAAATATTGGCTGCCTATTTATCCCAAGCTGCAGATTTTCTGACTTATTCTAATCAAAATATCAAAATATGAAACAAACACAACCAAAATGATTCTAGCTGATTCTAGGAAACAGAGTCAGCTAAGAAATCTAATTGAGATGAATCCTCATAGGGTTATTATGCTGATGACAAACATCCTATCATAGTATCACATCAAACACATTTTGTTCAGTGAGAAATGAGAGTTAACTAGTAAATTGATATCTTGTTTCGTTTATTGCAGTAATGAGAATGATATCACAGAGAGGCTGAAGCTCATTATCCAAGCAAATGCCATTCTTCAACAACAAATATTGGATGGGATTCATCCCGCCAAAAATTCGGTATGCCATTATTATGATAAGATCCTCACTTATTCACTGTTGGTCTACCATATATCACCGTCATATACTGATATTCTTAACAACTTTCTCATAGAAGTTGAAAAAAAAATCCGACATGCCATTTTGCTGTGTTGCCACAATGGCTCCCATTTAACAACATTGCTCGCCGTGGGTATATTAGAATAAGAGTGTATTTGCTGTTGAATATAAGAACCTCCAAAATATCTATTTATGCGTATTGAAAGCATTCTTTGAAATGGCATGGCGTAAACGCACCTCATGGCGCGCCTCAGATCCAATCTGGGCAAGTATACGCCCCAGGGCTATCTTGCCATGTGCTATGCGCTTTACTCAGGGATTGTGGTTTGTTGCGTACGCTTGAGAACTCTTATGCCTCATGGCAATAGGGTTGCGTATGCTATTTTCCCCAATTTTTTAGGTAAAGTTCAAGTTAGTCCATCCAATAAAAATTTAAGTGTACCTGATAACCTGAAACCTTTAGTTATTCTTGTCATCTTCCCCCTGGCTCTCCTCTTTGCTCTTCGACTCTACGTGCACATTTTTTTTGGCTCTCTTGATTTGGCTTGCTTTATTTTTTTGAGTAATAAATGAAGAAAAAAAATTCACCCACTCTCATCGTCTCCATAATTTTAAAATTTCATTTGTTGTTAACATGGTGTTTATTGTTCTTCAATTATTTTATATTTTTTGTTTTTGATTTTTTGTTAAATTGGAAAAATAAAATGGGTGGGATTATGATAGTTCGCGATTTTTGTGACTTTTTTTGTGTGAGTCGAGCATTGCTCTTAGTTTTCGGCTTATTAATCTCAGCTTTACTGTTTCATACTACTCCCTCTCTCTCTCTCTCTCCCCTCTTTCTTGTCCTTTTTTATTTTTTGCTCATTAATCTCAGCTTTTCTTCTGTTGTTTTTTTCTTCTCTCTTAGGTGCATATTTTTTTTTGTAAATAACTTGCTGTTAGAAGTTGTTGGTTATTTTATGTACATAAAGTTTAGAGTTTTTTTTTGAGATTTCTTGACAGATTGCTTAAATGTCAGACCTAGCATGGAAATATGGGGTAGACTCAACACCTTAAAATGAAGGATTAATTGTGTTTGAGACCTTTTACTTTGACTATACTTTTTTCTTGTTTATGGATTAATCATGTTCTTAATAATGTTCTATTTTAATTTTAATACTACGTTATATTTTTTAAATATCAGTCCTTTAAAATGAGGCTTTCGTCTCAATACGCCTCGAGGCTTACGCAATACATCTTGAAAAATAATGCCTCAAAACCACAATACGCCATTTCAAGCATTCATTGAGAGACTATGTATTGGCTCAAGGTTAAATAGAAAAACTGAAGGATTGTATTTGTTTGTGAAGATTAGTCAATTAAGTAAGCACATGAAAGACTTAAGACAGTTGCAACAACATGATACTATCCCTGAAGGAAGCTGATGTTCTTTAGAGGAATATCCACTCTAGTGCAAATATTGAAACATAATGCTTAACAATATGATTTCTGTTTTTGTTAAGAAGTGCATGTAAGGCACTATGGGAGTTGTTGGACATTTCAAGCTTGCGTTTAACCCACATGTATAAAGCAAATGCTGCACAACGTTGAGTTGGTTAAAATTAGATTCTTAGATATTAAATAAAGGGCGTCTTTGTAATACGTTGCCACTCTGTAGTCTGTAGTGATCATTCGATTAAGTGTATGATATTCAACTTAAAGGAGTTGCCTGTTCATTTTAATGGATCTTTTAATATTTAATATCTGGTATTGTCAAATGATTTTAGATTGCAAGTAATGAATTTGTGACTGTATTTTTTTGCCAACATATGGTACTTAATTTTCCTTAGGACTTAGGAATCACTTGTTAATGAAATACGTTGTTCTTCTTAAATCTATTGTCAAACATGGCAATGTATAGAATGTTTTTACTATAATTTTGTCCGACTGCTCTTAAATTTCCATCGCTCTCTTGCTGTGAGTTTATTTTCTCATACATCCCTTTTTAATGCATAAAAATGGGTTAGCCTGGTTGGGTTGATTTGCAAGCGGAAGTTGCACAGTACATAAACAGTGAAGTACGTGGATTGCCACCATCAAAGCAACTTTCCAAGCCACTGAATGGCTTTGTTCAGCGTCTCAAAGGAAAGCATGGTCGTTTTCGTGGAAATTTATCTGGAAAGCGTGTTGAGTATACTGGTCGTACTGTTATTTCGCCTGATCCAAATCTCAAAATTACTGAGGTATTGTGTTTCTGTAAGTGGTTTTGGCAGTCTCTTTAACCAAACGAAATGGTAAATGACTATAATTTGCAGCTTGCAATTCCAATCTTCATGGCCCAAATCTTAACATTCCCGGAGCGTGTTTCAAAACACAACATAGAAAAGTTACGGAAATGTGTTCGTAATGGTCCCAACAAATACCCTGGTGCCAAGTATATAGTGCATCCTGATGGTACAGAGATGTAAGAAGCATACTTCTAACTTCTCAGTTGTCACTCTTAAATAAATGTTTGTATCTATGTATGACTTTTCTGTTTGTGGTTCGTCATCTGCAGGTCGTTGATGCACTCCAGTAGAAAGCGTCAAGCTGATGAGTTAAAGTATGGTTACATAGTTGTTCGCCATTTGGAAGATGGTGATGCTGTTCTTTTTAACAGACAGCCAAGTCTGCATCGAATGTCTATAATGTGCCATAGGGTGACTATACTACTCAAAAAGTTTATACAAGTTTCTAGATTTGTTTATATTAATGGGTTCATTGGTTGCAGGCAAGAGTAATGCCTTGGCGCACATTGAGATTTAATGAATCTGTTTGCAATCCCTACAATGCTGATTTTGATGGAGATGAGATGAATATTCATGTCCCGCAGACGGTAGAAGCCCGCACAGAGGCACTTTTGTTGATGGGGGTAAAATAATTGGTCATCTATCAATGGCCCAATAATTCTTATGTGGCTGTTTGCATTTGTTTTTCTGTACCTTCTTGTCTATCTTGCTCTCTAAATGTACTTTTATTTTAGTGTACGTAAAAAATAGCCGTTTACATTGTGTATGATTGATTTATTGAGAGATTTATTCATTGAAAAATTGACTCTATTGCTTCTCCTTGTGTCCATGAAAATATTTTCTTGAACAGTTCCTTGGACTTTCATATGTTTTGCACTAGAATATTTTTCCCGAAGGAAGTTATTTTCCATGATTGTCTGAACTATTGTAAAAAATGATGCCTGCTTTTGAAAGAGGTCATACCCTTTTTATTTATTCTTATGTGTTTAAGCATTATATTATGAGCAATATATATTTTTCTCCAAGAAATTTTTTCCACAACTTATTTTTGTGCAATCTATCATAGTCTTGGATAAGACTTTCATCACATGATAGGTTGAACTCAGAATATGCAAACTATCTGTTTGGGGATTGAGAGAAATATGTCATCAACCGAGTCTTGAAAAATTGGATATATCCCTTGATTCAAAATGGTGCACAATTAATAGAATCTAAAAAGGAATTTCATTTGATTGTCACCAGCTCATTAAAAATGAAAGTAGTAGACAAGACTAATATATTTAAGATTGAAAAATAATATATTCAGTTATTTGACAAAGAGAAACAAAAGCGGCAGATTTAGTATATTAAATTTTGTCAAATTTTGTATTTATAGCAAATTTTATCTGCTTCAGCAAATGTTTTAGTACTCTCTTAAAAAAGTTAGGGATTAATTTTTTTTAAAATCCCGAGTTTATTTCGTGTTTTCCTTTAAGTTCATAATTAAATTGGTGACTTGTTCAGATTCTATACTGATAATATAATTAGAGAATGTTGGTATGTATTCCTGCCCATCCTGATCTGAATTTTGGAATAATTGTTATGCTTCATCAAATAGTTTTCACGTGTGAAGTAAGCCCTATATAAAGCCTGTCAGACGTGATCTTTCTATCCCTATTTCCTTATGTTCTACCATTGGTTTCACATACTGATGCTTATTGTTATGCAGGTCCAAAACAATTTATGCACTCCTAAGAGTGGAGAAATCTTGGTTGCCTCTACTCAGGATTTTCTTACATCTTCTTTCCTCATTACAAGGAAGGACACTTTCTATGACCGCGCTTCTTTTTCTCTTATGTGTTCGTATATGGGTGATGGGATGGATCACATCGATTTGCCAACTCCAACAATTATTAAGGTTTTTTCATGAATTCCATATTTCTTGTTTGAACAAGTTTATTTTAATATTTTGCCATTCCCTCTTTCATCTCTTCTTTTCTTGTTTTTAATGATTGGTTTTGTTTCAAAAGAATCACAAAAAAATATTTTATTGATAGTTGATACTATTGTTTTTCATACAAGAACCATTTGCAAAATATAAGATTTGCTATTACGTTGTTATATATGATTTGTTTTGTGAAACAACCATCACCAACCGTTCTGCTGATTTTTTGAAGAAAAAATAAAACTGTTTGGATGAATAGTATCAATGTATTAAGGGGCATTTGGTTTGAACATGAGAATCAGCATTGAAATGAAATAAATAGATATGCAGACAACCAAACAGTCTGAATGAAATAAAGGCATAGACATGCTAAATGCAATAAACATATGGAATGTCTTTTCTTAGAGACTTTTGGGGCCTGTTTGGACAAGATTTACAAGTTGTAACTCTAAATCATGAATTTAGAGCTCTATTTAGAATTGGTGATTTAAAGTCATCTATACTACAAGAACTTGTTTTGATGGTGTGATTCTATGCGTCGATAATTTATCCCAAAAAGTGATGAATTAAGATAATAAAAATTGGAAAACAATATTCATCCTCCCTCTTCCATGTCAAGGTTTTCCTATTTCTGGCTACTTCCCCAACTTTCTTTGCCGCTACAATTGACAGCCCTCTTAGACGTTTTCTTCGCGATCTGATTAGTTACACATATTAAAAAAATAAAATAAACGCACACCACGATATAGACGAAATAGGCACTCAATTAAGTTATAAAAATGGATTACATTGTATAAAATATTCAATTTTGTTTCGGTCTCTGTCTGTGTATATACAAAAGATACATATGTCTGAGAATTTACAGAAAAAAGTTTGGAACCGATCTAAGAAAAAACGAGGTACTCTTTTTTTTAAAAAAAGAGGATTCCTACTGTTCATTGAGTTTGAAAACAAGAAAGAAGAAACAAAATGAAAGACAAATGAAAAAACTAATTACGGAGGAAAGCGGGCTATGACAAGTGACGAGTGAGTGAATCGAATGCCAGAGACTTTGGGTGAGACAGATGGCTTTCGGCAGGACCCCTCCCGAGGATGCTGCCCTTTAGACCCTGCCACCAAGGGTTGCTGCCCCCCGAACCCTGCCAAGAAATTTATCATACCGTTAAATGAGCGTGTAATCCACAACTTTGAATTCGTATCAATGTCTATCAGAATTTTCTTCTGGTCTCAAGTAAATCCAGTTGTCCACAATAGACGATGACACTAAAATCACCAACAAGTAGTGGCTTCATTGTCATTAATTGCACTGCATGTGATATGTGTGAAACATACTACTGGATCTAGTATTAACGTCAGTACATGTGACGATTGTCAAGCAGACAAGCACAACCTTTAGGGTATTTAAATATTAATTAGTGGATGTACACAACATAACCACTCAGAGATTTCTAGAATTATTATCCAACTCACCGTCACATGTGATCAAAGCTACAACTAGTTGGTGGGATTAACAGGCCTGGACCATAATAACTTGACCTTTACTCACTGGCTCGTGTAGTCAGAGCTATAACTGAGAACTTTAGTTATTAGGGTTAGAATAAGTACAAGACGTAATGTCTTTAGTTGAACTTTTACAAGCAACTTCGCTATCAGGGTTCAACTCTAGTCTTAGATTTGGAAAAATGTACGAAAGCACGGATCTTATAATATGTAAGTATATCTTTTATAAAGTCTGAACTGAATTTGAAACTGATATCTGGATTGCACAATATGTAAGCATATGTTCTGCCTGAAGTCTGAACTGAATTTTTAAATTGTTATTTGGATTAATTACGTAATGTTCTATTATTTATATTATTTTATCCCAAACAAATTTATTTCTAGCTTTGCCTGAGCTTCTGAACATTTTAAATGGCAGGTTTCTTCTTACATGCCAATCTACCTAAAATCTTATTTGTACATCTTTTACTAAACTCACATTTAATCTCTTCACGGAAGTATCTCGGTGAAACTGTTTTTTGCAGCCAGTTGAGCTTTGGAGCGGAAAGCAGTTATTTAGTGTGCTTGTGCGTCCGTATAAAAAAATGAGAGTGTACTTAAACCTTACTCTGACTGAGAAAAATTACAACACCGACAAAAAGCCAGAAACAATGTGCCCAAATGATCGCTTTATTTACTTCCGTAATAGTGAGCTGATAAGTGGACAACTTGGGAAGGCCACATTAGGTAAATGTTTCTAATTTTGTTTCATTGTTATTATGCATTATAAACTTTTCCTTATATGTGTATGCATGTGTGTCGTGCATATATATAGTTAAAGGTGCTTTGTTTTTCGTGGGCGTGTGCATGTGCGTTGTTCATATATATAGTGAAAGGTGCTTTGTGAACTAGCGGCGGCGGCCGGAGACCGGCGACAGTGGCGGAGGCGGCCGGCAGTGGTCAATGGTCGCGGTCAAAATCTATATATATATATATATATATATATATATATATATATATATATATATAGGGGCTGATTCCCGTGAGAATGCACCTTGTGGAGAGAAATGAGAATAAAATCTAGCCGTTGAATCTGATGCATCGTGCGGCTCAGATTGCATCCAGCGCTCAGATTTTGAGATAGTTCATTTTCAAAGGATTTTGGTGCATTTGAACATGATGCATTTTCAAACCATTTTGGTGCACCTAATTTTGATGCAATCCTAACCCTTAGATCTCACAATCTGAAGCACCAGATTCATTCTTGTTTCTCTCCTAAGATCGCATTCTCACCAGAACATATATATATATATATATATATATTTATATATATATATATTAATCTCACTAGAGTCAATCCCATATATATATATATGTATGTATGTATGTATGTATGTATATACACACACACACACAGGAAAGTTCCTTGGACACCTAAGTAGTAGTTCATCTGGCAGCGCTGTACTTCGATGATGGTTGTTCGGTAGACAGGCTCGACTCATTTTAACCTCCTTAATTTTCACACTTTTACCTAATCCATATTTGTAATTTTTATATCCAAAAGGTAGTGCAAAGCTTTTACAGAAAAAAAGTAAATTTTAAAACTTTGGGGTGATTGCTTTTTCACATATGATAAAGTGACTTTTTTTACAATCATGTGATGACATCAGCAAGAGAATAGTCACCAGGGAACAGTCCAAACGTATGTGTATGTATATATCTGTGTATCTGTGCATATACACATATAACACGCAACAACCAAAGATTAAGCAACTGGCTTTTAAAATCTAACTAGGTGCTCTCAGTTTGGCAATTGGAAAAGTCCACAGTCAAGGGTAAAGGGGGGGGGGATAAATCAAAAAACTCATCCCCTTTTTATATATATGTGTGTGTGTGTGTGTCTATATATATAATAAATTGCATCGAGCCTCATAATCATTTCTAATGCATCTAAAGAATCTTGAATCATCTAAATCAAAGTTTGTTTAGGTGTACTTGTGGACACATCATCAGTAAATTTGTTGGTTTCTAATTTCCAAATTTGTAATCACATTTTGGTTAAACATTGGTTTTATATCCATCAGGTTAAACTTTCTTCTTGATCCTGTTTTTGTCTGAAAATTGTCGATTAGGCAAGTACTCGTTGAGTAAGTTTGCTTTGTAAATAACTTCAACATGTAAAATGAGTCACTTAGACCAGAAGCTACCAAGAAACAAGAACTCAAAAGTAACTTGGATTTGTGATTAATCTTGCACAAAAGAACTGCAATGTAAGGTTTGTGTACAATCCATCCTTGTGGTAGGACCCTTCTTTTGCTCCATGCTCAGCAAGGATAATATTCTGCACCAGGCTGTCCTTTTTCTAAGGTTACGGGCGTTGCCCTTTTTCTTGTTGATTTATAACTTTTCTTTAGTTTTTCTGTGGAGGCTATGTTAATTTGTGGGGTTTGTTTAGGAAATGTGGATGTGCTATACATTTGAATGTGAAGGACTCAATTGATCACTTTAATTTATGCAAATTCGATTGCACCAAATTGATACATATGGTTACATTATAGAATCTGAAATAACTAGGTGATGCTTTGTTTTCCTTCTGAACTAATTTTTGTTTCTGTTGTGTTTTGTTGTTATTGTATTAGTGATATTTCACATTAATCAACTGTTTCATTCAAGTTTTGACATGCAATAGTGATACTTCACATTGAGTGAGACTGAGTATCGTTCTCCATATGAAATTTAAGCATTATATATATATATATACACACACACACAGTAGCTCAACTGCAAATAATTTCAACCTATCATCATTATTTATGTGGAATGATTTTTTTTGCTTTTTAAATCTTGTACTCATTGTATTGATGACTGAATACTGATGCATAATGTAAATTTAGTTCATTTCAATTACTACATTGGTCATTATTCTTATCATTCCTTATTATGGAAAACTAAACTCGACAATAAATTTGTATTTTGTGAAATGGGCAATAGGAAATGGAAACAAGGATGGTCTTTATTCTGTGCTACTGAGGGATTACAACACACATGGTGCTGCTACATGTATGAATCGTCTTGCAAAGTTGAGGCATGTAATTTGCACCTCCATTCGTTGCTTTCTTTCTGATTTGTATATTGATTCATGTTTTCATGCTGGGATTTTTATTCTATGAACTCAATGCTTGTTCTTTCTAGCATAACAATATGTTGCCTATTGGATTTTTTTTCATACCATTTTTTTGTGATTCCTTTCATTTGTAGATGTTTGAACTTGCGTCAGCACATATGAAATGTTTTGTTCATGGCTTATTTAGAACTTAACCTATCTTAACATTGTGTTGTAAAGAATTTTGTACTCCAAAATCATATCAATTCGAATACTATACATGAGTTATGTAACCATTGAATAATGTTTTTGTTAGAGTAGGGAATGCATATTTGTTCGTTTCGGATAGAGGTTTATAGAAAAGTACCCCCTCTCTCCCAATGCATTTGCTCACATTCTTTTGTTACATGGGCCAATTAGAACGATTTAAAAGATGAGATGCAGATGCTACAAGTTTGCTTTTTTTTTTTTAACGCAAGAAGTCATTGTATAATTTAATTGGGGGTAATAGAGTCAATATAACATTCTTAAAATGACTCATAAAGGAGAGTGAATCAAGATAATGGGGTAACTTAAAAAGGAATGCTTGACACATTAGGATGAAGGGAGTGTCAAGTTGGCATTTGGCTGTCGAATGATTCATATTCATCACAAAATGCCTATGGTCAAAGGCTATCTTTTTACTATTCCTATTTCTCATGGCATCCCCATGGCACTCTTTTACAACACTTGAGAGGTGGTCCGGAAAGCACAACATGCATCTATTGAATCATGGGTTTCTTGCATTGAATTGTTCCTATGTAATCCCCACTATCTTTTGAAACAATTGGCCCACTTGAGTCACACTTTTGGAAAGTAACTACTCCTTAAAAAATTGCAAAAAGAAAAATGGTTTTATAATTTGGGACAGGAAGCTAAATTTATAAAAAGTAAGTTGAGTTTCGTATTACTTCTTTTTTTGTTCAGCTAACTGGAAAGGTAATTTACAGCCAAAGTAATCCCTGCTGTTTCTTTATCACAGTGCTCGTTGGATAGGAAATCATGGGTTTTCAATTGGGATTGATGATGTTCAACCAGGAAACGAGTTGGCGCTAAAGAAGAGAATGGAAATAGAAGAGGGGTATGGGCAATGTGAAGAGTCTATAGCTTCATTTAACAAGGGGGGACTAACTCTACTACCTGGTTGTGATGCTGTTGAGACACTTGAAGCCAATATTTCTAGTGCTTTGAATGCTATTAGAGAGAAAGCTGGAGATGTAAGAACACATGGACTTCAAATTCAGTATTATTCGATGTTTTCATTAACATAGGCATTATCTGAAATGTTTAGACTTGAAATTATATTCATAGGAATCATAAATTTCTTATAACATATTCTTACAAGTATGTGTTTGATACCTTAATTTTTGGTTCAAGGAATTAGGAAGGAAAAGAAAAGGAAATGATTTTCCCTCATTTTCCTCACTAAAATGTGAGGGATTTTGTTTTCCCTCCTCTTAGTTCATTATGCCTTCTCATTTTCTTTTCCTTCCACTTTTCTTTTCTTTTCCACTCTAAGCAAACAAAAAAATATTTTCCATATTACTTTCTTTTCTTTTCCCATTCAATTTTTTTGAACCAAACAGTGTAAAGAAAGATGATGGTATTCAATACTTGGTTTATAGCAGTACTTTCAAATGTGTAATACAATTAAGATTTTTAATTTATCTTTACATAGTTGAGGAGGCAAATTTTCTTTCATCCATGATTTTCGTTTAAAAGCTCAACCTCTTATAGGCAACACCTCTTTTTGCAAAATAGTAGTTAATTTATTTGTCATCTTGCTGTTCTCTTATGTATTATGATGAAACATGTATGATCTTTTAAGCTTCTGTGAGCAGGTGTGCACCCGTTCACTACCTTGGAGGAATAGTCCTTTAATTATGTCACAGTGTGGCTCAAAAGGATCAGTTATCAATATTTGTCAGATGATTGCTTGTGTTGGCCAGCAAATTGTTGGGGGTCGGCGTGCTCCTGATGGATTCATGGATCGGAGTCTTCCTCATTTCCCTATAAAATCAAAATTTCCTGCAGTGAGTTCTTTTGTTTTATTTGTAATCACAGTTCTTGCTATGATGTAGAATGCTAAAACCTTCTACTGATGCTGTGTTTACCTAGAACACCATATCAATGAGATTGTAGATAGGTTTTTAGCATGTTTCAGATAGATCAGGTTAGGACTAAGCACATAATCTCATCCGAGGAATATTATCAATTAATTAGTTTTTCTTTGAGTATTTTCAAATACTTTAACTTAGATTTTGTAGGAGTCCCCTGAAACTAGTTTTAGAAAGAAAAATTTAATTTTCATGAATTGGAGATGTAGGACAAAAAGATTGCATGATGGATACTGTGAGGACATGCCTGCACTTGTGATATAACAGCTATCTGTGGTAGGTAGGCATTATTATATATGCGCCTTTGAAGATTAGCTTATAAAAGGATTTTTTTATCTCGTGTGGTCCTTCGTCATCTTATGCATCATTCATAAGAATTCATTGGCTAGATTGCAATTTTAGTTGAATATGTTATTGTGCTTTCTTTCATCAATTTTTTTTTGCTTGGCCTCAATTTTGAGGCTGCCAACTTCCAACTGGGTTTGAGGTATTTAAATGTTCACATGACAGACATATTTACCTCTTAAATTAGTTGGTTTGAATCAGTTTTGTCAGGCTCTCATTTCTTTCCCATGTGAAGTATTATGCTGAATGTAGAGAAAGGCGCCATGCTGTAGACTGTAGACCGTAGCTTTAGTTACACATTTAGTTCTAACTTGATGATAGTTGATGTGGTCTGACTTTGAATCATTAATATCAGGCTAAAGGATTCGTTGCCAATTCATTTTATGATGGTTTAACACCTACAGAATTTTTTTTCCACACTATGGGTGGAAGAGAAGGCCTTGTAGACACTGCGGTAATGTGTTCAATCATAACCTTTAAGCTGTCTATTTCAATATTTTGTACTATTGGCATTATTTATCCATTTTTTTGGCAATTTTGTAATGTATCCCACTAAACATCTAGTATAGACATAAAACTAATAAAGGTTCTTGATCTTTTTTTCATTAATATAGGTTAAAACGGCTGACACAGGGTATATGTCTCGTAGGCTTATGAAAGCTTTGGAGGACCTTTCCGTTATGTATGACAAAACTGTGCGAAATGCAAGTTCATGCATTGTGCAGTTTGTGTATGGTGATGATGGCATGGACCCTTCACAGATGGAAGAAAAAAAAGGGCATCCTTTGAACTTTTATAGACTACTCATGAAAGTAAAGGTATAATCGTCAGGTTTTGTGATCACCTGTATACTTTTCTTTTCTCTGTTGAGAGAAATGTGGATTCATCTTTTTTAACAGGCAATATGTCCTCCTGGAGAGGAAAAAAGTATGTCACCATCAGAAATTGAAGGGATGGTGCATGCAAGGCTTTCACAATGTGATATGACTCCAGAAGGGGGTTGCTCAAAGGCCTTTAATAAATCACTAAATGAATTTCTTGAAAACAACTGTGTAAGAAGCTTAGAAAAAACACTGGATGATCTAAAACTTGATGAGGATCATCACGGAGTGAAGGACAGTGAAGCGTTGGAGAGTATTGCTTTGAATATATCAGGTGTCACTAGAAAGCAATTGCAGGTATGATCTTTTTAGAGTTTTACCAGTAGGTCCAGTATACCATCAAAAACAACAACAACCCAGTATACCATGTACTTAAATTCTTAAAAACATAATGAATGTGTCTACTTTTAAACAAAACCCCAGCTTACATGTGCTTAAAGTTTGTTAGTATAGTGTATACATGCACGCACACAGGAATTCTATTCATATTTGACTAGACATATCTACGTCAAATACACATTCATATACACAAATGGGCTAAACAAACTTGTGTAGTGTCATATACTCATATACCTAACAGTTCCTACTTCCTCTCAAGTTGGCGTATTGATATTGATTTTACCTGACTTTTTACAAATATAATGATATTATTATCTCTACTAAGCTCTTTTGTATATCATTTCTCAAGCTAGTTTGCAGTTATTGTCTTTTTTATATAAACATGGTATAAAAGGTACACATCACACATGGCTTGAAGGTGTGNTCCCCCCCCCCCCCTTCTTTTTTTTTACTTCCTAAAACACAAACCTGGTCTTTTCATCCCCCTTTACACTATGTTTCGTTCAAGGAATTAGGAAGGAAAAGAAAAGAAAACAATTTTCTCTTGTTTTACTCACCAAAATGGAAGGAATTTGGCTTTCTCTCTAAGTAAACATTTTTCTCTCATTTTACGCACCACTTTTCTTTTGTTTTCTTTTCCTCTCTAACGAAACAAGAAAAAATGTTTTCCCACTTTTTCTTTTCTTTTCTTTTCCCTTTCAAATGCCTTGAACCAAACATAGTGTTAGTCTTCCATATGGAGCCTCTCTATCAGTAGCTGAGCAACCTTCCACCACTCAAGGTTTGCAAAGGCTTGTTCGGCTATGAATATAGTTATCTTCAGAGAGCCGAGATGTAAGACTAGAGGCGCATTGAGGCTTAGGCCTCGAAATATACGAAGCAATAAAATTTGAGTAATTTTAGTGTCAAAACTAAAATAAGTGTCATTGTCACACATAACACACTAACAAAAACACAACGAATTGATAATGATAGATCATGACTTAGACAAACACACGAGGAAAATGAAGAGGGAGTGGAAAATAATCTAACAGGTACACAATCCCTAAGTACAAGTTTATCTTTTGACTGATCGATCTTGAGGGAGAGATTGTTAACAAGAAGCCGACTGAGTAAATTTATTAACATAGATATAAAGTGTTGTATGTGTGATCAAGATGAGGAAGATTCTAGCCACCTATTCTGGAAATGCACTTATTGACGGAGGGTTCACAAAGATTTTTTTGATTGGTTGCGATGTAGTATTCATGTAGCTGAACTGGGGGATGTTGGGAAGGAGACATTGAAGATTACCCCTAGAAAGAAAAGATGGCTAGTAATTGCAGGCTGGGCTGCTAGCTGCTACCACATTTGGAGAGCTTGGAATGGAAGAATTCATCAAAATATTATCAAAGAGGACGCTACTGCTGATACTGATATCAAAACCCATATACTTAAATACAAATTGAAAACAGTGTGTGTCATTAGGCAGGGTGTTTGAGTTAAGTCAATTGTAAAACTTTTGTATTCTTTGGTTTGATGAATGAAGTGGTTATTGTCCAAAAAAAGTATGAACCAAAGTTAATAATCAAAAAAATTAGTAAAACATATTTTATTGAAGAAAATAATGAAACAGAAAATAAAAAAAATCATAATCGTTCACTCACAATATCAAATTAATAATTAAACGCTTACAATGATTTTGTTTTCTTCCTTTTCGTTAGTGTGCATCTGTAAAAAGTCAAATGTTTCATGGCTTGTTATGTTCTCAATATGCTATGAAATCTGAAGTAGCTTGGAATTTTTCCAATCCTCTAGGTTTTCCTAGAAACTTGCATCACTCGTTACCATGCAAAGAAAATAGAAGAGGGAACTTCAATCGGTGCCATAGGAGCTCAGAGTATTGGAGAACCAGGGACACAGATGACGTTAAAAACTTTCCACTTTGCCGGAGTTGCTAGCATGAGTATCCTTGGCGTACTTCGTTTTGTGAACTGTTCTTCAATGATTGTATTTTCTTTAGATGTTCTCTTTAACTTACTTTCAGATGTTACACTTGGAGTTCCAAGGATAAAAGAAATTATAAATGCGGCTAAAAAGATCAGCACACCTATAATTAAGGCAATGCTTACATGTGATGATAAACCAGAGGCTGCTAGAATGGTAAAAGGTCGTGTTGAAAAAACACTTCTTGGTCAGGTAATCATCATATTTTGTGAATGCCCGCATTGAAACGATATTGTTTTCTCTAATCTGTTATCAATGTTTTTTTAATGCCATCTCTAGCTATTTTGCTCTGTGTGCTTCACAATGTCTTGAACATTATTAGTCTTGGATGGCAGTAGGTTCACTCAAGGTTTTAAAAGACAAAATGTAGAGATTTTGCTTTAATATTAAGACAGTCCAAGTCATTACCAATTGCATATGAAATAACAAATCATAAGACAGTTATTGCTAAGTTGATGTGTTCATTTTCTTCGGCAGGTAGCTAAAAGCATTAAGACAGTAATATCTTCAAGATTAGCATCTATAATTGTCGTACTAAATATGGACGCAATCCAAGCTTCTTTTCTTTCCATCGATGCTTATATTGTCAAGGAATCAATTATCCAGACATCAAAGCTGAAATTGAAGGAACAGGTAGGTTATTTCGTATTGAAATTACTATTCATACTATGATCAAGCTAAAGTTGAACTCAAAATATGCATATCTGTTCAGCATATCAGGGTTTTAGATCCCAGAAAATTGCAAATTACTCCTGACACTGATCGAAGTAAACTTCACTTTGAACTCCACCGTCTCAAAAATAAGCTTCCCACAGTAGTTATTAAGGTAAAGTAATGACACAGCATTAGTTTTTCTTGAAATTCTTCTTTCTACCCAACACAGCAGCGAGTTTTTTATTTAATTCGATTGTGTGGTTGACAACACTTTTTATTTTCCTTGCCAGGGTATCAGCACAGTCGAACGCGTTGTTATTAACAAGACCAAACAAGGAAAGTATGAGGTGTTTGCTGAAGGGTACTGCTAATCTAACTTTTATAATCCTACTTTCAGCTTTTCACGTTCTGAAGAAATTTCTATTGTCTGATATACATATTCTTATAATGTGTCAATGTTAATCGTTACGAAGAACCTCTTTATAATCATGCTCATAATCTCATATGTATTAGCGCATATTAATAGATATATTCTCTCCGTCCCAAAATGGTTTTCCTGTTGAGTTCACTCTTCCTTTGGTCAAACTTTAACCACTTTGATGAAAAAATAGTCTTGTCACCTTGTTTTGTAGAACTTTTGGTGTACATTATATATATATATATATATATATATATATATATATATATATATATATATCCCTATATGGGATTGACTGCAGTGAGATGACACCTTATGGTGTGATGACATGCTTCGGTCAGATGACGCAAAGCTCACCAAGCACAACTACAAAGCTCACCAAACTGTAAGGCAAAGCTCACCATATTTTTTTCAACACTTTGAATTTTTTTTGAAAAAATAAAATCAAAGGAAGGAGTGCTGACTAGACTTTGACCGTTGACTTCAGCATTGACCGCCGCCTGCCGCCGCGAGTCGCCGGTCGCCGCCGCCAGTCACTGCCGCCGGCGGCCTCCGTTGACCGGTGTTTCTATTTTATTTTTAATTAATTTTTTAATTTTCAGAATTTAAAAAAAGGTAATTTTTGGGGTTCAAAGTGGTGAGCTTTGCATTGTCCATTGGTGAGCTTTGTAGTGTAGTGTGGAGAGCTTTGTGTCATCTGACCGAAGCATGTCATCGCACCGTAAGGTGTCATCTCACTGGAGTCAATCCCTATATATATATAATTTATGCCAATTTTCTTATAAATTAAATTGAAACCTTTAGTCAAGCATCGTAACCTGCCCAACAAACAACTTTTGGGACAGAGGGATTACATGATTATTAAACTAGTTTCATTAGGTTTGGCCTAAGGTCTACATACACATACCGCGACCCTACTCATGGGATTTTACGGGGTTGCTCGTTATAAAATTAATCTTATAAAAATATATATATTTGGTATGTGGGTTGGGACACATTGGGCCCCGTTCCTTCCAACTAATTCCTCCAAACTTCAGTCTCGATCTCTAACTTTCATACTTTACTACACTCTGGATTCCATTTTTTTTTGTTAAAATTAAACTTGTCTCCAGCCCCTAGTATCTAGATTGCAGTCTTCACTCTAGTTAAAATTAAGGTGACAAAGAACATGCTGACCATTGATTAAGTCTACAAAAAGGGTTCTTTTTAAGAGTTTATGAACTTTGATAGTGCCGCTGTGCTAGATAGCAAAGTTGTAATGAATAGATGGGAAACCAATCCATTAAGGGGAGGATTAAATGTGCCTCAAAGTTACATATAGTTCTTTAAAAGTATGTAAAGAGACTATAAAATCCAATATTGTGTTACCAACCGTGTGCATATGTCAGCCGTATAGTTTTGCACATCTACAATATACCACTCATTTCTCATCAACTGTTTTCCTACTGATTATTCAGTAAGTTTTTCCCCAGAAAATGTAACACTTTTGCAATTTCTGTAGGACGGGTTTGCAAACTGTTCTGGGCACAGTTGGAGTTGATGGACGAAAAACTAAAAGTAATCACATCATGGAAGTAAACCAGGTACTCGGAATTGAAGCCGCAAGAAGTTCTATAATAGATGAGATAAATGAAACCATGACGAGCCATGGAATGACTATAGACTTGCGCCACATGATGCTTCTAGCAGATCTAATGACATTTAAGGTAGGAGTACCAGAAATTTTATATACTGGTCTGTTTTGATCCAGTTTTACATATCCATGTTATTGCAAGTCATTTTTAACTTTTTTATGTTTCAGGGTGAAATATTAGGATATACTAGATTTGGTATTCAGAAGATGAAAGATAGTGTATTGACATTAGCCTCCTTTGAGAAGACCTCTGACCACCTTTTTAATGCCTCTATAAGAGGGCGGGAGGACAAAATTGAAGGAGTCAGTGAATGCATCATTATGGGCATTCCAATGCAGATGGGCACCGGGGGGTTTAAATTGATACAAAGGTAAGTGCTTGACATCTATTGTTGCAGGCACAAATGGGTCATATAACTAAATATTTGATTTTAGCTAACATTGTAAAATTTGTTTATTAATCAATTAATCATTTTTGTTACATAGAGGATAGGGTGAAGGTTGTTATGTTTTGTTGCAAAGTTTTCTTTACAAGAAATATTGTTTTTGCAAACATTTTGTCTATTTTTATTCAAGGAGAATTACAATTTGTGAGCATACAACATAAAAAGAATGTGATGGGCACACTAAATTATTTGAGTGCGGACGAAAACATGGTTGTGAAATAGATTGTTGTATTCCCAATAATTCTTCTTTTTGAAGCTTCTGATAGGGCAATCATGTTGCAGTTTGATGCCAAGTCCGACTGTGAAGGCCAAAGAAGTGGATAGTTTTGTTTTGTATTTGTGTCGTAGTCGGTTTTGTGATATTAGGTTGAACAAACAGTTTGCATTTAAGCGTTGAATACCACAATTGAACGCAAATGATTTCTAGGAAGAATGAAGTTCATGTTGATCAATGGGTTGTAGTTTAATATGGAGTACATGTTAAAATCAGTAGGAGTTGGAAGATGTTGAGGCCTTTGTATATGTGGTGTTGTAACTTTTTCAAAATCTTATTCAGAGCATCTGCTGCCTGTTTGAATAACAAATGGTGCCTCCCTATTTACTGTTAGCATATGTTAAATCACCAGTATGTTTTCTAGAACTGCATAAATGATATCCCAATGGCATTTTGATCACTCTTTTTTTTCATTCTGCAGAGATTCCAAATCTGAACCAGTGGAACTCAAGTATGGACCGGAGTCGATTATAACATGAGATGACTAGTGCCTACTGTAATAAGTTATCCAATTACGGTGGCTAAATGGTCAAAGATCATCCGTGTTCGCCAAAAGGTGAAATTATTTCTCCATATATAGTGCCTGTTATTTGCTTTGCTCGAGTGCATTTTGAAGCTTTTTTGGACATTTAAGGGTGTAAACAATTTTATGAGAAGAAAGGAAAAAATGTTTTTGAACAGGAGACCTACAAGGAGTATAAGCTTTGACTTTTTTTAACCGTTAGTTGAGGTGGAAACAATTAAGTCCAGAGTAACCTATACTGTTATATAACCCGAGACCCCGGAGGGCAAATTCTTCGCTGGGCCTAAGGTCCATACTCATTATATAGACATCAGTGCATTTGTGGTGTAAAAGAAATGAGCCTTTTGCAAAAAAGAAAATATCCACATGCAACCTCACGAAAAATATGAGAAAGTTCACGTTTTAAATGTTGACTTTGAGACCATGTAAGCATCACTCTATATGGAGTGCATATTGGCTTGATTTACGAAACAATAATTTCTCGTGTCTATCCCAAATTAAGTTACTCCCTCTGTCCAATGGAGTAGTAGGAAAGTGAACATCTTTAAAAAGTTTTCCGAATGGGCTATAAATGGATAACTGAAAATTTGATTGCCGTATATATCTGTTTATATGGAAAATATTTATATCCATTAGATGCGGTTATTTTCCGTATCCAATTATGGATATCTGATTAGCAAACCGATACGAATTTGGTAATCATGCATCTGATTCGTTTATAATTCGCTCTGTATAGACATGCGTTTATGTAATCGTTTATCCTTTTATTTGATTTGTTATATATTGTTTTACCTAATTTTTTATTATTATATTTTGTTTTACTATTGACATATCAAAGTATAAGATATCTTTATATGCAAAATATGTGTATAGACACATAAAAATGTGTGTGTATTGTGTATATTTTTTTACGATATGGAGTTGACGTAGAATATTATAGATTACAAAAAATAAGAAAAAAGTTACTACGTACTTAATAACAAATTACAATTGAATGAATAATATTTTAACTTTAATTGGAAAATAAAGTATTGTTTAATTTGACTTAAAATTAAAAACGGATACGGATATATCCGATATCTTATTGATATCCGAAGGATGCAGATACAGTTTTAATTTTTAGTACTCGTTAAGATTTGTTTCTGAATTCGAACACTCCCTCCAACAGATGGCGATTAAACTGCTATTCGCCCTGCTAACTCATTGTCAATTCTTGCACCACTTATCTCATACTACGAGTACTTGAGCAATAATTGTTCACTTATATTCAAATTAAATCTTAGTACATATAAAATTTTAGATCAACAAAAGACCAGTGTCAAAATTCGGTTTAGGTTCTATATATAATAGATAGATAGATATGAGTGAAGGTATGTTTAATCTTTTTATTTGTGTCTCATTATTTTTGTCTACTATGTAAAATATTCTAACACGCCCCTTCATATATAGGGGTGACTTATTAAAGCCTTGGATGCGAAGCCTTAACTTTTTTTAAGTTGGGTGATGGAGAGTTTTAAGCTCTTGACTCTTAGGTATCAAGACTTTGATATCATGTCAAGGAATTACTCAATCAAAAACTTAAATTTGTGCTTGTTGTACAGGAAATGTTTTTTATACTTTAACATGTTAGACAATACTATAGTACTTGTAATCATGGTTGTATTCTTATATTACTCAAATTTCTATAAAGGATGAGTTCTAATTAATTTCAGGGTCTGCTCACATATATACCACCTTGTATTTCTCAAATTTCCCCAGTAAGCATGCTATTCTATTATTTAACACGGTCCGGTTCTAGTGACACCGGAGAACGGTACCACTCCGGTGCCACTAGGTTTTTAGGGCACCTCCGGTGTTTCGTTCGTAAAATTGACGGCTCCTACCCCCCCCCCCCCCAACCCACCCCCCACCCTACCCCCATTGCATAATAGCCACACATTTTGTAAGGGGCTTACGGCGGGGTTGGGGGGTGGGGGTGCAGGGGTGGGGGTAGGGTGGGGGGTTGGTTAGGGGGGGTAGGAACCGTCAATTTTACGAACGGAGCACCGGAGGTGCCCCAAAAACCCAGTGGCACCGCTAGTGGCACCGTTTTCCAGTGTCACTAGAACCCCGCCCTATTTAACATGATATTATAGTCTGATTTGGTTCTTCCCCTCTATTGTTAATCGCGAGAAAAAATTTAGCTAGGGTTTGCTCAACCTGTTGATCTCTATGGATCTGAAAGTTCATGGGGGTGCAGAGAAAATAACCAATTTAAAGATATGTAACTAGGCTAATCAAACGAATTGTTGAAAAGGATGTTGTAGCACTGTCACAGAAACAGATGAGAGACTGAGTCTTAGACTTTTTCCGTCACATTCACTACACATAGAATATAAAGTTAAAGTAGTAAAGAGTGCAAAAGAGTTGTTTACGCAGTTCAGAGCAATATCTCCTACATATGCGAAGCCCACGTTTGTATAACAACCTTCACTAGATCACCGTAGAGTTTACACGTTCAACAAACATTAGACTCTATCTAAGCATTTAAAGTATACTTCTTACGAATGATGCAATAGCAAACATGTGCTAGCAACTCATCTCTAGAGTATCTCGACCCCCTTCTGGAAGACTCTAAGAATCAGCGATTCATATGCAGGTGAAAGCCATTATAACCAATAGATTTGATACTACTTTCACCCTCAACTACGCTAAGAATGAAAACAAATATGATCAATGTTCTGTGTAGTATATCTCGTAGATCTCACTTATTCTCTTCTCAGAAAATAGTTATGCTCAATGTATTTTTCTTGCTCTCTTCAAACACCAGCATCTTCAGACTATATAGGCCACACAGGAAAAACTCTAGTTGAGTCCCACTCAATAACTGCCTGCTGTGAAACCTTTTGCCCCAAGAATAGTTCCACATGCTCCATGTTTTCTACGGTTGGACTTTTGTAAAGATATGATTCTTCTTGAGGACAAAATGTAAATAGTTGAGGTTGCGATCATTAGGACTCTCCATTAATTACTTATGTTGGAGAGTTTTCCACAAACGTTGGGATTCCACAGAGCAGGATGGTGGACAGGTTGCTACAAGTCTAAAATAACTAAAGTGGCTAGCTACTAACACAACATGTTTATGCCAGATTGTCAAAAAATTATGCCAACATGATTTGTACAACATGTTTACATGACAATCCAAAGTAACTAACAATCTCCCCCTTTGGTAGTTCTTTGACAAAAACAATCACTAAGCCGTTTTGAACCTCTTCCCCCCCTTTCTGCATAAGAATGCTAACTTCTATTTAGTAGAAAATGGGGGCAAAAGAAAGAGCTACATTTAACACGATCAAGAGTAGGTACAATAACAAAATTGCAAGAAATTAGAGCTTTAGCTACATCACGTCATCTTGTAGGACATCCCCCAAGGATAAAGCTGTCAGCCATAAATCCAAAGCCTTTGATAAAGTAATCATCGCAAAGATGGTTCATAGCCTACAACTAGGAGTAGATAGCCATGTGCAAACATTTGATTTCTGTGAAAATGTGAAAATGATAGATTCACTATCATAAGTTCACCATAAAACCACACAAAAATATCCCGAGCAAGAATAAGAGAGTTAATAGATAGTCTCAACCCACACAATCATGTGGCATAACAACCTCAAACCACCAAGAGTTTTAAGAGTTTGAGAAGAGTTTATAGAAAATCATTCCTCATTGCTTCCTCCTTCAAAACTGTCTTCTTCTCTATCATCCTTAGCATTGCTAGAGCCTTCCTCCCCTCGGTGTCTGCCTCCTCAGAGTCGGGTGCCTCTGTTCTTTCCATTTTCACTAACTTCACTAGCTGACCCTTCTCTGATTCCAGTCCCTCCACCTTGTGACATTTACTCAGCTCCTATTTGACTTGCAGCAATTTCTCTTCTAGAAATTTCACTAACAAAATTTGCCTACCAATTGTGATTAAAGAAGTATATGTAGATACCATGTCATTAAAATGTCTTCCCTCGAAGTGCCTTCCATCTACCTGGAGTAGGGGCTCTTCTGGTTTAACTTCTTTATGCTCTTCCTCTTTGAAGCCCTGTGACACTAAGATGTTGTAGATGAGAGTTGGATAAGGAAGCCCTATGGAATTCATCTTGTACTTCTTGGGGGCAAACAACATCACCTGCTCAAACACTATCTTTCCATGATCAAAGAGAATTTCTTTCTTGATTTTGTAAAGAATATTTGTGGAGATTTTGGAAACAGTATTAGTGTGAGTAGTGGGGAGCCAATAGAGTGTAGCAACACGTAGAAGAACAACATATGAGCTTTTCACAATAGAGGAGGGTATCTTGTAGGGGTGAGCAAGGACCGAACTGATCTCAATATTTCTCGAAAATACCGAACCGATAAAGTACCGAAAAGAAACTGAATTGTACTGAACCGAATGGTCGGTCCGGTATTTAGGAACGGTACGAAGATACTTCCTATACTGAAATTCCCGAACTGAATATATATTTGAATATATTATAAAAATAATAATCTTTTTATATTTTTTCATTAAATAAAAATTTATATGGACAATTTAGTTTAAATTCATTATGTCTAAGTTGCACTTTAATAAGATTTTTTTACTTTTTGTGGATGAATTTAGGAATATTAAAAAATATTTGAAATAATACTTTGTTATCACTCGTTCTCTTTAGTTTGTGAAATATAAACTAACTTTCATAAGCATTTCTTGCATTTTATTTTTTCATTTTTAAATTTTTTTAATCTTTCTTTGGTTAAATGTTCTTTCAATTTTTTAAAAATAAAAGGTTTTGTTACATTTTATGATGTAAACTAGGTATGTATATATTCATCTCAATTCGTACCGAAACCGAACATTCTCGAAACATACCGAACTGATGCTTTGGGATCGGGATCGGTACAACGTAAAATCCCATATCGAACCGAAATATTTGGTACGGTACCAGTATGAGCGAAATACCGTAGCACGCTCACCCCTTGTATCTTGGCTTTGTTGGATTAAGATTGTCTAAGGGCATTATATTGGTCAAGTCCATTCATAGGACTTTCTCAACAACTCGTTTTTCATTTGAGCAAGGGGTGAATTCTAAAAAATCATTAATATTTGTTGGAGAGAAATCAAAAGTTTGGCCACGAAGATACATCTTCTGGTGCATAAAATCAAATGGATCACAACAAGATTTAGACAAGTTGCAAAAGAATTCATGAATAACAACTCTGACAAAGGATCCTTGAAGAGTAACTGACTTTAATCGTTTAGAGATTTCAAGAATCGGCAGGAGATTAGTTTTAGACTCGAAATCCTCAATTTCTATGCACTTATGAGGAATCACAGACTTCTTTGCAATAAAAGGCATGACAAATTTGGCTTTAGAGGATGCAAAAAGAGAAATAGAGGATTTTCCTGGAACTTTCTTCCTTTTGCTTGAGCATGATTTTGATGATGTTGGGGATTCTCGTAGGCGAACCTTCTTTTGCACTGGGCCTTGAGAAGAATGGTCTTCATACGCTTTCACCTTTCTTTTTGACCAGCGAAGTGGAACTCGTGCAGACTTTGGCATCTTCTTCTTGGTCTTCTTGACAGTTTTTTCATCTTAATCATGATTTTTTCTAGAGTGGAACTTCGAAAAAGCTATTAATGGTTCTTGATCAAGTATCTTCAGAAACTCTTCATCATAATCGAGCTTCTTTTGTTGAGTGGCAAGTGTTGCGATGGTTGGTTCCTCCTTTGTGATGGTTGATGATGGATCTTGAGCAGGGATCTCAGATGCAAGAGAATCAGGGGTGATTTTCTGTTTAGAATTTGCTCCTTTTACTCGCTGATAATCCAAAAGCAATACTTTGGGAAGATTTGGGATGGGTTGCCCGCAGGCATCGTCTTCAATCTCAGTCTGCATGTTGTCCTGATAGGCTTCAACACTGGATCCATCTTCCCTAGAGCATGTTGCAGGTGCACTGTTTGAGTTTTCTTGAATTTTTTTTGAGCTTTGCAAAAGCGCTAGAACCAAGAGGTATGAGATTTTGTGGTCTTCGGCCTATTGAATCACTTTGGGAGAGCAATTTTAGTCTGCACCATAGTTGTGGAAATTGTGAGTATCAGATGCTAGGGTTTGATTTCCTGAGTTGGAACTTGTGATGAGGATGAAGACGCTAATCCTTCTTCCGAGTTGGATTTTTGAAATACTGTGCCTCTTCGATTCTTGAGAAGCGACGTTGGATTCACTTAAAAGATGTGCCCTAATAAGCTGTGCAAAATAAAAGTTCTCATGTCACTTATAAAATTCTAGCAAATTTAGTCACACGAACATTTTTAGCTGGCACTCAAGTGTTCTTTTTGTAAAGCAAATTAGAATGATGCACACACACCCAAATTGGATATGAGTATTTCGAATCTCTTCCCATCAAGTTCCTTTGTAAAAATATCAGCCAGTTGTTCTTCAGTTGCAACATGCTCTAATCTGACAATTTTATTTTCAACCAGTTCACGTATAAAATGGTGCTTTATATCAATGTGCTTTGTACGTGAATGTAGTACTGGATTTTTTGAAATACTTATGGCACTTGTATTATCACAGTACACAAGGATAGTGTTATGTCCTATTCTATAGTTAGCTAGCATGAATTTCATCCACAACAATTGTGCACAACAGCTCTCTGCTGCAATGTATTCTATTTTAGCTGTTGAAAGACACTAAATTCTGTTTCTTACTTAGCCATACAACCAAATTTACTCCCAAAGAGAAACATCCCCCGGATGTGCTATTTCGATCATCAATGTTTCTTGCCCAGTCTACATCACTGAATGTTATAAGGCTTGTTGTACCACCTTTTGCATACCACGGACCCAAGTTTTGTGTTCCTTTAACATACTTCAGGATTCTCTTGATGACTTTGAGATGCGACTCTTTCGGTCTTGTTTGATACCTGTCACACACCCCAACACTATAACAAATGTCTGGTCTGCTCGGAGTAAGATATAGTAGGCTTCTGATCATGCACTAGTACAAAAATGACCAAATAAATCGCCTCATTTGCATCGTTAAGCTAAACAAACGATGTAAATGCAAAAAAAAATTCGCGTATCGCTTAGCTTTTGGATCGGTTATCCGTAATAACCGATGCAAAAAGTATTTGAATCGGTTATCACGGATAACCGATTTAAAAGCTGACCATCTTTTGGATCGGTTATTGCTTATAACCGATTTAAATACCTTTTGAATCGGTTATTAGTAATAACCGATCCAAAAGAGTGTGATAAAATTAGCCAACACTACCTTATCCTTACGCGTTTTTGAAAAAAAAAACCTCCAATTCCGTTCTTCGTCTTCGTCGTGCTCTTCGTCTTCGTCGTGCTCTCCGTCGTCTTCAACTCCACACCACGCTGTCGCCTTTCCCATGTCGCCCCCAAATCGGGTCTAATTGCGCCGCCCTCGTCCACCTCACCTCGACGTTCGCCGTTGTTAGTGTCGCTGTCTCCAAGGGAACGGCGACAACGTCGACGACCACCTCACCCTGCCTCCGTCGCCAAGCCGTCGCCAAGCCGCCGTCGCCAAGCCGTTTTTGCTGCCCCGCCGTCGTCCCTTCCTTAAGGTATTTTTTTAGCTTTAAATATTTAATTATACTATTATTTGTTTATATATTTTTGTATTAAGTTAATATTTAATTTACTATATATGTTTTGTGTACATGTTTAAGTTGAAATTTTTCATTGTGATATACATTCTTTTTGAAAAATAGATTGTTTAATTATTTTGTGTTTGATTCTACATGTTCTCAGCATAGCATACGTGGTAGAATTTGGAGATCGCCAGTATCTGGATAAAGCACTTGAGACCTATCAATTGCGACCCTGGATACTTATGCCGTTGTATCTATCGACACCGTATGTCTTTTTAAATCATTTCTAATATGTATTTTAGTTTTTTATTTTAAGTTTGTGACTAACGCTTTTTTCAATTGTAGGCGACATTGGGTGTTAGTTGTAATATGTTTGTTTGAAAACAAAGTGTATTTTCTAAACTCCATCAAGTCAACTGGAGGTCATAAGAATATGAAGGTGAAGACTTTCGTCAACGAGTGAGTATTAAGAAATTTATTACTTATTAATAAAGTTGTTTATTTGTTATGAAATTAATTTTTTATTAATTTGTTTTTTTGCATTTATTAAAGGTCTTGGCGATTACTTCGGGAACGACATATGCCTCAGCTTAAGGCTCGACCGGATTGGGTTGATGTTCCAGGAGTACCCCAACAAGAAGGGAATGTTGATTGTGGTTATTATACAATGCGATATTGTTGGGTCATCGTCAATATCTGTGC